ATGACTGAACAACAGACGACAGATATCGATGCGTCCCTGCTCTGCGGCCAGATGCAACGGGGTCTGCCCGCGCTTGTTTCGGGTCCGACACCGCGCGAGGGGATCTGCCCCATCAGCAACGGGGTGCTCAAAAAGCACGCGAACGACATCCATGTAATCTTCTCTTGCGGCAATGTGCAAAGGAGTGTTTCCGTCTTCGTCGGCGTCGTCGACGAGGGCCCCGTCGTGACTGAGCAATAGACGACAGATATCGATGCGTCCCTGTTCTGCGGCCAGATGCAACGGGGTCTGCCCGTGCTTGTCTCGGGTCCGACATCGAGCAATGGGAACTCCCCCGTTAGCTACGGGGTATTCAAGAAGCACGCGAACGACATCCATGTAACCTTTCCTTACGGCAATGTGCAAAGGAGTGTCTCCGTCTTCGTCTGCGTCGTAGACGAGGGCCCCGTGACTGAGCAATAGATGACAAAGGTCGGCAAAGTGTCTTCCTGCGGCCAGATGCAACGGGGTTTGCCCGCGCTTATTGCGAGCCCGACATCGAGCCATGGGATCTGCCCCATCAGCTACGGGGTGTCCAAGAAGCACACGAACGACATCTAAATATCCGCGATTCGCGGCTTTGTGCAAAGGAGTGTCACCGTCATCGTCGGTGTCGTTAACGAGGGCCCCGTGGCTGAGCAACAGGTGACACATCCCGATGTGGCCCTTATATACTGCTTCATGCAGTGCAGGTCTACCATGCCGACCAGGAATCTTGAGGAGAAATTTGGTGCCAGGAGCATCGGATGGGCTGCCCGATGACTGCGCCAGCATCTTTTCTACATGATGGCATAGATTCAACTCAACGGCGAAACTGAAGGCGGCATCGCTGCTATAGGTACGATTGCGGCGGATCCAACGGGCAAAAGAAGAGGAGCCTATCCGCAGGAAGTTGTCAAGAAGATCACTGAGATCGTCTTCATTATGAGATGATACGTGCTCAGTCCAATACTTTCCCGCATATGGGCGTAAGTTTGACAGTATGGCATCCACATCAAATGCCCGGAGGCAGATCCTAGCGAGTATGAGATTGGCGGAGTAGTCCTCAAAGACGTAGTGATGCGCAAGGGTTGAAGTGCCCTTGAGCTCGAAAGACATGAGGTATTCCTTCGCGGAGAAATGAATGAACTGTACACTTCTGTGGATAATGCGACCACTCGTGAACACTATTTGCTCCTCTTCCCAATCGACAATGCTTAGGATGCCTGGACACTTCTTGAGTATGAACTTCTCGCAGTCCTCGATCGGAATCGGCGGTGTACGAGAGTCCAAGTCCGCGCAATATATCTCAACCACTTCAACTGGAGAAAGCGGGCGCTTCGCAGAAGCAATACACTGGAAGACGCGCCGACGCCGCTCTACTGATGCCTTTGATGGGTCGGACTTCTCTAGGATGTGCGTGTACGTGTTGTGTAAGTCGGGAGGCAGCTCATTTAAGGTATTCTCGACGTCGGTGATTGTGATGCAGTCCCTCAAACGCAGTAGTTGTAGATCGACCCATAGGAACCTGATAAGCGATGAGTTTAGTGCTACGGAGATATTAAGCGTATGACATACATTCCATTAGACTTCTCATTGAGAACTTTAGACACCTTCTTCTCGACATCGGACGACCAGTGGTACTCGTTTCGGTCGATTCGAGATGTTATGTATGCGCTCACGTCTTCCAGGTGTTGTTTATCAACGTTGAGATCGAGTATATGAGTGACAGACGACAGGAGGTCCCAGATATCAGCTTCAGGGCGGCTGGTAACCAGCAAATGAAAGTCCTTCTCATTGCTGTCAAGTTCGCAAAGATGCTTCAGAAAGCGAGCGGAGCCTCTGTCGCGCTCCTTCTCGGGGCACTCGTCAAGAGCGTCAATAACGATGTATACGTGTCCAGCGAGTTTCACCAGGCCCGACAGCATAACAAGTAGCTCGTTGTAGCTCGGGGGTATAATCGTCTTCTGCCGTTCAAGATAACTCTGGCACGCTTCGGAACAAGTTGCCAATTGGAAGACCAAAGAAGCAGCCAGTGCACGACAGTCCTGCTTGGTAGTATCACTGAAGTCAAAATAGAAGTACGCCAATGAAAGCGCAGGATTCTTCTTGAGTGTGTCAATGATTGACGAACTACGGTGAAAGGTGAGGATCGTAGCAGAGCAAAGGTGTCAGAGATAGCGCACCACAGGACACTCTTTCCGGCGCCGGCTACGAGAATGATGAGATTTCGCTTGCTCAGAGGCAAGAGACTACGTACCATTGCCATATATCCAGTACACTCCGTTTCTTTGGGACATCCAGCTCTCGAACTTGCTATCAAAGAACCACACACAGCTGTCGTTGTACCGCTTCTTCTCCCAGTTGAGCGGTGGGGCATCGGGCGGCCGAAGCCACTCGCGAAGACCCCTGAGAACTAGAATGGACGTTGAGACTGGTGGCGATGAAACATGCGAAGTCGCCTCTACCTGCTTTGTTGGCAACGAAGTGCATCTCGGGCTGGACTATAAAAACAATGAGCATTCTACGCGACGCACGCGGAGATGCGACTCACCGTCGCGTGCAATAACATTGATCTGCGCCACAGCTGCCAGAAGCTCTGCATTCGTAAGGTGCTCCAGCTTCTCGAGCGCCGTCTTCACCTCGTTTCCTCCCATGACCTCGCGAAGGTAGTCCTCTGCGCATTGAACTTCAGCATGGATGTGGGGGAGACGTAGAATATACGCACTCGTGCGCCGCGCAACGGCTCCCCAGATACTCTTGGTGCTCGAGTTGAAATACTTCGTAGTCATTGCAAGTACCTCGAGTACCTGAACACAGGTCTTGACGAGGATATCCATCAAAACAGGGGCCGGCTGCGTTGACGAGTTGAGATAGATCGGGACGCGATTGAGGTAGCTTGCGATCTCTTTGAAGAGATGCTCAATGACATCATAGAGGCCACTAACGCCCTTCGTCGCCTGCTGGATGTCAGAACATTGAGTGGCAAAAATAAGGCAGACACGGCTTCACCTGTAGGAGGACACCGATAGCGACGAGAATGGCCTTGCCTCCTGGAATTGTCCCCTTTCGGGCTGTCAGAAATGGGCTACACTGCCAGAGGTGTAAAGCGGCACTCACGGAACCGGCCTCCGCGCCAGCATCGATGAAAAGACAGATAAAGTGCACGGTTGGTTTCAACACCCGCAAGACGTTCTGACCACGAGCTCGGAACGCCTCGAACGACCGGCTCTGAGCAGCAAGGATCGCAAGGACTTCGTCCGCACTAGCAGGGTGCAGCGGAAATCCCTTCCCAATCGCGATCTTGAGCAGCTCTGTTCCTGTCTCTTGCTCATGGCGGCGCAGGGCTTCGTCCCAGAGTTCGCCCATATTGCGCGGACTCGTTGTCCCCTTGACCGGGTTCAGGTTCTGCTGCTCAGTCGTACAGCGGGTAGACATGAATGCTGAACGGCGATGGTGGTAGGACGGCAGGAGACCGATGTTGCTGTCAGTCGTTCCCGAAGATACGGATACCTGCCGTCGAACACGTTGGCCGTGAGAGTGGGAGCCTGGCACGAGGAAGGCGTTTCACGTCTATATCAGGTATGATAACCAAGCTTTGCGCCAGCCTCACGCATGCTGGATGAATCCGCTAGCCATCAGTGGGTGGATTCAGACTGGTGGCTCTATGATCGTGCTCGAAGGACCGAACCATTGACCATTGGGAGCAAGAGAGCCATGTACACATACATGTCTGGTTCTTTGACGCTCTACATGCTATTCTATGCGCGCACGTACCTGGAGCAAGTCTTCACCTTTGCCTGAGAGTGGGCTGGCCATTATTACGCGTAAAGGTCGGCTGGAAGAGTGAACGCAGGAGGGAGAGGGAGAACATAGATTCTGGCTCGGAGCAAACACGAACAAAGCAAAGGCGCGAGACGCGCGCGACCTCGTCGCGTCGGCGCGGTCAAGTTCGGACTTCTTTCCCGAGCAGCAGTCATGTCGAGCGCGAGCCTCGGGCATGAGTGTCAACCCGTGTACTGCACATATACACTACCTCTTGTTTGCTGGCTAGCCTGTCTGAGACCTTTGTGATACATCTGCGTGGCGCAAGGTTCCTCACAACGTCCTCTACCATGAGGTGTACATCGGCAGTGCGCGCCGGCGGGCGACGAGCGCTTATTTCGGTATCCTGTGCTACAACCCCACGCGTCCCTAGTACTTACGAGTGCTTTGGGTTCTACAAGTACGACCATCGCTCTTCCCACCGCCCCCATCGATGGCGCAGACTCCTCTTACCTGACTACGGTGAACAGTCCACGACATTTGACGCGCACATCACATCACGATGCGTCGTGGTATTGATAAACTTACTGGACCTATCAAGCATATCCGCAAACGAGGCGAGAGGTCCGATGGCGTATCCTCTCCCGCGTCAGCCGAACCTCGATCGTCCGCGCCAATGTCTTGTAACTCAACAACGCACTACGAAGCATCACCTCCGAACCGACCTTCCTCTCACCTACAACAAGACACCCTAGCCGACCTCTGGAACGACGCTATCGTCAGATACAAGTCCACCACCTCCATAGACCTAACCGACCCAACCTCCCTTGTCCACCGCTCTCTAGCCAACTGCTCTTCTCACCACGCAATCCTCTCCGCCTTGAACGGACTAATGGACGAGTTCAAAGCATACCGCGATCCTTCGCCCAACAGCTCCGCCAGCAAGATAAGAACTGCAATTCGTCGTGTTGTTTGCGCTGTGCTGCGTGCTGGTGTGCTTGATGTGGGCGGGGAGACGGCTGCTGCATTGGTATGTTTACTATGCTCTCGATCTTGGTCGAAGGCTGATGCATTGCACAGGGCATACCGGGTGGAAAAGCTATATTCGTGGCTTTAGGTGCCCTTCTCCAGGCACGTCTGCCCTCTCCCTCCACACTACATAATCCTGACCTTCGCCAGCACAGGCAACCGAAGGCGTCACCGACCGCTTCGACGCCGTCCTCCTCCTCCTCCACAACCTCGAATCGTACATGATCCGACTAGACGTCCGTCTTAACGCCCCGCTCGTTCCAGCGGCGCGCGAGCATACTGTTAAGATCTTGGTGGAGATGTTGGACGCTTTTGGAATGGCTACACGGATGATGCGGAGGAATCGCGCTCGTACGTCTCTCATGCGCTTGGCAGGTGCATGCGGCTTAATGCTGAAAGGGATGTCGAATAGAGCATTTCATGGCGGCGCTTACGGGCGGAGGTCAAGATGTCAAAGCTGCCCACGAACGCTTCGAAGGTCTCATGGTGGAAGATACCCGTCTAAGTCTCGCAGAGGTTCATTCAGGGATCCAAGCTTTTTCTGCATCCTTACAGACAGGTACGAGGCCATTGGTGATGCAAGCGCACCGAAGTCTAACAAGCATTCTGTAGGATTGGACGAAGTGAAGACTGAGGTCGCGCAGCATCTTGAAGTTGTAACTTCGGACATAGTGGCGCGGGTGACTGCGCGTCTTCAAGCATGTGAGTCACGGTTCTTGATTGCAGACGCTGCTTATACTGATACACCGGTTCAAAAGCGGGGATATTTGAGCTATCACACCGATTCGAAGCCCTCAGCGCGAGTTGGGACGAGTGGAAACATCAAGTGGCCAGGAAGAGCATCGGTATGTGTCGGGCCACCTTCTCTATCGCGAACATCGTGCTCATGCCGCCCTCCAGATGATGGCGGTATGCGCCGTCGTATACCACTTCCAACCAATTCCTACACGGACTCAGTATCACTACGGACATCACTCAACAGCGTGCTCGCCCTCTTCCGAGACCTGACGCCAGTCGATCAAGCCGCCCTGCGCGAGACGATCGCCGTGATCTACTCGGTCGCTGCGTCTGTCGCCGGAGGTAACTCGGACACCGCATGGAGCGCGACGCTCTACAATCCCAGCCTCTTTCTATCTGCCTTCCTTCCTCTGGCCGTGGCGTATACCGCTCTCTTCTTCTGTTGGCGCCAAATGCGCCTATCGAGTTCGCCGAGTATCCCGCGAGCGCCTCAGGACTGGCACTTGCAGGGCGATACGCTCGTGATCATCGATGTCCTTGGGCTTCATATGGTGCTACCTCTAGGACGGTGTTTGTCGTGGGCGGTGAGCGCTCCAGTACCAGATGGTGTAGTGATACGTCATCATTGATTGACGCTCGCAGGACGTTCACACACTCCTCCTCGAGCGCTTCACGAACAAGCAAGGATCCAACTACGTGAAATCTCGTTCATACGTCCTCATGAACACCGCCGGACAATCCGAGCCAGACATCATCTCCCCATCTTCTTGGGCGCACACCATTCAAGCTGGTATGACGCTAGAAATGAGCATCGTGGTGAGGCAGCCCTCGCATGAGGTTCGGTGTCCTTGGTGCGAACTTGTTGCCCCGGAGAGTCAGGCTGATAGGTTGTTGCAATGGTGTGTTTTGCTGTATGGGGTGCGCAGTGGTCATACGCTGAGATGCTGAGCAGCGGGGGGTGCAAACGCTTCTTTAAGGCTTCTAGTACGAGTCTAGTGCCCGCGGACGAACATGATGATCAGAGGTTTGTCTTTCTATCATCCATACGCAACACCGTTCTCAGTCTCATTTCATCGCTCGCAGTGCCGTCGGCAACACCGAATCTCTGATCGAGTGCGACCCGGATCGTACCGGCGCAGATATCGGGGACTCCCATGTCCGGCGCGATCAAGCCGACAACAATGCGAACCAAGCTGGTACCACCAAAGAGCAACTTTCGCTATTTCGAAGAATCATCATCGAACTGATGCACGAGCGCGAGCAAGCACCGCTCAACGAAGGACAAACGTTCCCAGCCGGCCAGCTTGCTCCGAAGGAGCTCTCCAGCACGCCTGGCAGTCCGTCCGATCCCGGCGCAAGCACACTCTCCTTATGGGACGATGACGAAGAGCTGAGCGATGCGGAACCGTATGACATGGACGTATTGAAAGCTGCTATGGATGAGTGGAAGATGTTTGCCGCTACCGTCAAGTTGAGTGAGGTAGAGGGGGAGACGCCGCATGAGTGGATGGGTCGATTCATAGAGGAAGTTAAGCTCGCTATGAAACGAAGAGCCCGGTAGGATCTATGTAGCGGCTGTCGGTATGACCAGATTGAAACTCATTTTAATGTGTTCTATCTCGTGAGACCGCCCGATGAACGTGCTGTTGGGATGAGCGGATGTAGATCGACCGTGATTCTGCAAGACGAAGGGATTGTATAGTATTGTGTACATACATCGTTTGGAGTACTGACGCTATAACGCCCCATGATCCGTGATCATTGATGTAGGGCGAGGAGTATGGCATGAAAAAGGGATAATCGGTAGTGTAAGCGAACGTGTATGTTCGAGAGTGCTATCAGAGGAAAGCCTGCAATGTGCGGAGAAACTCAGTCGACGATCAAGCCTTCCTTGTCTGAACTCCTCGCGGGTCTCAGCGCAACTAGCCCGCTTGTTCTTGACCGCCTGGCTCTGCTCCGCATTTTCGGCTTTCCATTTCGCGGTGTGGACAGCGTAGCACTCGTATTCGCCTTGGAAGGGTTATAGAGCTTCAGCGTCGACGTCGGGCCTGTCCGAAGTTGCGGTGCTGATGGTTTTGGGTGCGGAAGTGAATTCAGAAGCTGTAGAGGTGGAGGGTGCTTGAGAGGGAGGATGTGGGGAGGACTGGCTCGTGCGGGATGTTGCCGATTGAGAACGGTGTCGCCTATGTTGAGCGAAGCCCATATACCGTTGTCATAAGCCGAAGCACTTGAGGCCTGTCTTCGCGGTTGTCTGTACGTAAACTGGCCATTCTTACGCGGGGGAGTTGGCTGCAGGGAGGGACGCGCGAGGGAGAGAGAGGGATGGTACGGAACAACCACGGACAAACTGAGGCGCGAGACGCGCGCGACCTGTTTCAGCGCGGTGAACTCGGACGTCTTTCCCGAACGTCCATCATGTTGACCTTCGAGCACGATGTTGTAGCAGCCAACTGAACGCCAATAGTGACCATGGGCCAATACTCAGTCGTACGATAACCTGCGACAGTGCAGGCTACAACCGGTCGAATATGGCGTATTCTCACTATACGTGAACCTTCTGCGACCGAACAGCCTAACATCGCCTCTCGTTCACGGGGCGTCCACACTTAGGCGCCTATCTGTGGCTTACTTCCTCCCGCCACTCGACTCATCTCTCTCCATGTCTCCCCGTTCAGACACCTCTCCACCAAGATTCGTATGGCCCTTACGCCGGGTTTTCGCTCGTGCTTCGTTTTTGAAGAACGGTCCTGCTACATCGTCTGCGACTGGTATACCGTCTTCATCGCAAGGCAAGCTAAGGGCGACTCCAGAACTCAGCGAACCCGCTCAGTTTAGCGAGTGGGAGGACGCTCTCCGCCACTACCATAGGTCAACTGGCGTGGATCTTTGTGATCAGAGCCAAGATCTCTACAGGAAACTGGTCGATTGTTCCGGTTACGGTGCAATCGTCGACATACTCGTGAAGACCGCTGAGGACTTTCATCAATACCGCCATCCTTCGTCTGGGAGTCTTCCCGTCAAGTTTCGTAGACTTTTGAAGCCTATCATACGTACCCTCATTGGCTCTGGCGTCCTTGATATTGGCGGGGAGGTGGCAGCGTCAGCAGTGAGTCCGACATATTCTTCTTGGTGACATTCATTGACCCCCTTCGAAGCCTGTACCTGGAGGGAAAGCGATCATCGTGGCGATAGGCGTCCTCATAAAGGCGCGTCAGTATTGAAGTCCGCTTTAGAACCGCAAGTTAATGGTGCTGTAGGCAACGCAAGGCGTGAGCGAACACTTTGACACCATAGAGACGCTCTTGGAGCGATTCGAGTTCTGCCTGAGGCGCTTGGAAGCACGGGGCGATGTACCGCTGGAGCCGGCATCGCAAGTTCTCGCTGTTAAGATCCTGGTCGAAATGCTACACACTCTGGCCATTGTAACCCAGGCTATGCGCGAAACACGTCTGCGTGCGTCGCTTGACTTCTCGCATGCGCCAGGAGCTCTCTAACATCATCCACAGGCCACTTCGCATCCGTCCTACTTGGCAAGAGCAATACCATCATGGATACTTCCCGGCGCCTCGAGTCTCTCGAGATGCAAGATACTCGTCTGACACTTGATAGCGTATACAGGGAGATCTATAGCCTCTCGCGCTCTCTCCACGACGGTATCTCGTTCTCTTCCTATCACGGAGATATCATCCCTCATCAGTTGGCATGTAGTTCTAGAGGAGACGCTCACTCCGCTACGTGACCAGCTAGACACCATATCAATCCGGATTGCGGAACTGTCCGTGCACACACGATGTGAGTCCACACTCTTCTATACCTCTTTTTAGGGCTGACTCGATCTCATATCATCTTAGCGAATGCGGCTACGATGACTAATCTACAGTCCACGGCCATTGCTATGTCGAGCCCTACACATTCGCATGGTATGTGTGACTTAGTCCATCGCGCCCCCACATTTTGACGCAGTCCTTATAGCTGCAGGCCTCCGAGGACCAGAATCCTCCAATGCTTTGACGATTCAACACAGTGGACAGGCAGGTATGGAGGGATCTGTACTTTTTGCTCTGTCGCTGACTAGATGATGATGTAGTTGGAACGGTAGAGATATGGCGCGTCTGTCTGGCGATCACTTACAACAATGCCATCGCGAGTACCAGGACCTTGTCTAGCAACATCCTATCCGCTCTCAACGAGCTGCCCGCACATGATCGACATAATCTGAACAAGGGTCTCAACATGATCTCTACTGTTGCAGCCTTCGTCGCTGGTGTCAATGTCAAGAGAGTTACATCCGCTGTGGGGTCCCGTCACGGTGTGTTCGCGTCGGTATTCCTTTCAATGGCTATGACCACTGTCGCCACCTATTTCTACCGGAAATACCTTCCCCGAGACCTTGGGCAGCCGCCTTCGAGCACTATCCTCATCATCGACATCCTCGGAGGTCACGCTGTGGTGCCTTTAGACAAGTACTCATCGTGGCAGGTCAGAACTTGCATTGATCTAAAGAGTGTATCACATGGCTTATCGTCCTTCATACAGGACCTGCATGGCCTTCTTCTGCATCGCTTTACAGACAAGCCTGGCGTCGAGTATGTGAGCTCGAGGTCATATGCTATCACGGATACGGTCAGAGAATCAACGATCATCACACCCGAAACCTGGGGCACGTTTGTGCAGCCTGGGATGACGCTGGAGATGAGCGTCGTCATCCGCCAATCATCCCTCTGCCTTTGCTGTCCTTACTGTAACATCACGGATATTCGACCTGTGGACTGCGAGTTCATTCACTGGTACGCATGCATTTTCTATGTTTCTACCCTTCGCTCCGAGCCTCCCATCTTGATGCATGGCCAATGCCACAGTTGGAGCTGCACACGGCCCTACAGAATATCCAGCGCAACTGAGTTCATAGATGGCGACGGTTCCAGTCACGACGACAGGCGAGTGTGATCGATCATGAGATCAAGATATTTGCCAGGACTTACATGCGTTCATGTTCTTACAGATTTCCATCCCCCCGCGAGCCATCGTACGACGCCACTACTCCAGATTGGGCACCTTCTTCGGACTTCAACCTTGATTCGGGAGTCGCATCGGGCGAGAGAGAGAACGTCGATGACAGCGAGTCTATGCATAACACAGACTCGCAACCTACAATGGACATGTCTCTATTCCGCAGGATCATGGTCGAAATTGCATCGAACATGGCCTTCGCGGACAACGACACGCCATTTACGGGTGGCATGCCCTCTACGGAGACTCTACTCTCGACATCCGTTTATGGTGTCCAGTCCGACCGCTGGCAGTTGAACGACGATGTAGACGATTTCGTATATACGCCTCCGGGCCCAACGCCGGTCAACAACGTTTCCCTCGCCCAGCATTAGGCTAGGACTGATGAAAATTTTCAGATATTCATTTTTCCATCCCCGCGCGATCTGGAAGGTGTGGGACGCGACGGGGCGATAGACCCGGCTATTGCGAGCGCTGCACACGACCAGATTGCCAGGATGAAGGCAACCTTCGAACCGCGTACGTATTCTCGAGCCTATACCATACTTTCTGCTGACAGGGAATGTGCTTGTGTTCGTTTGCTTGCTCGATTAGACCTTATGGAGGATCTCAAGTACGTCGATCCGCCTATCGAGGTGGACGAATGGGCGATTCTGCTTGAACGTGGAGCGCTTATGACGTCGGAAATCGAGCGGAGGTTCCCAACGTTCATCGTATACACTCGGGACCCGAATGCACCCTCAAAACTAGAGCTCATCCACAGTAAGGTATCGTTGTCTCGTCTCGTGTATGTGAACACCGCACTTAGCCTTTTTTACTGTTCTTTTATAGTGTGTCAGCCGGATTATGACCTTTGAGCTCCAGAGGAAGCTGGCAACACAGCACCCACCTCGCTTCATCATTGATCTGAATATGCTGAGGGGGTTCATTCAGAACTGGTCGAATCTGCTGACCATGATGAGGAACAGGAGTGCAGCTGTTAGGTTGGAGTTTCAGGCCATGCATGATGCCAAAGCGAGTCCGATATTCAGTCAGCATCGGGAAGATACGTACGCTACGGCCGCTACCTAAAGATACTGTGTAAGGTCGATGGACGAGCCCATCGGTATACAGAGACTATGACAAGTACATTTATATGAGTGCCGCGGCGTTGATCTGTCGAGAGAGCATATGTGAAGCTTGAAGAGTGGCTGCGAGCTGCCTCGTTGACGGGCCAGCGAAGATCGAGGTGCTTCGGTGAGAATGGTGCGAGGTCGCGTCGATGAAAAAAAATCCGCCATCGTGAGACGTGCAGCCGCATCGCGCCACGCGTCTAATACTATACCCCGTCCTACATTCTTTTCGATGGAATGGAAACGATGAGTGTCTGAGGAGAGTCTAGGCGCGCGAGTCGTACAAGCGCGTGCGTGCCATGCTGGCCTACAAATGATGTCGAATTTGAAGCTTTGAAGATCGACACTTTCGCTTCGACGCTCATGACGGTCGCCGTCCGGCGGCTACATCTATCCCAGTACCAGTCAATACACTTGACCCACAACTCCTGATGGTGTGGCTAGATGCTGTCAATTGCTGCCAACTCAACGGGCGCTTGCGTTCCCTTGCACCGCTCAAACTGCCCATGTTCTACCATAGATCCCACGACACCCCTCAAGGATCGTATACTCGCTGCAGTACTCACTGCCGCCGTTCGTGAGCTCGCAGCTGCGACCAGCCCTCGAACTTTCTTCAGGCTCTGTTCGCCCGAAACCGACATGCGTCGGGGCCTCGACAGATTGGCTCGACGCAGAAAACTAACGCGGGGACAGACTCCGCCGGCCCTTGACAGGTCTGCGTCGAGCGTACTCCCGAAACCATCCTCGACGTTCAACGACGGTCCTAGCATCGATACTCTTGCACCACGCCCTCTATCAACCAGCTTTCACCCTCACGACGACCTAGCAGACCTCTGGGAAGAAGCCATTGAACAGTTCAAGGCTGTCGCAGGTGTGGATCTGACCGACAAGGACGCTGAACTCCATCGTCGTCTGGAAGGATGCACGGACTCCCCTGGGGTCGTCACGGTTCTGAACGAGACGTTGGAGAAGTTCAAGGCTTACCGCGACCCGGCTCCCGACAGTTCTGGCGCGAAGCTTCGACGCGTTCTGCGCCGTACAGTCAGAACTGTGCTTCGGGCTGGGGTGGTGGATGCGAGCGGGGAAGCTTCGGCTGCCATGGTGCGTCGTTGCCTGATCAAAGATGAGATTGTCGCTTACTCGTATCTCAGGCCATACCCGGCGGGAAGGCTATCTTTGTCGCTATGGGTGTTCTTCTACAGGTACGTTGGACGGCATATTCATTGGCAATAGTGCTCAAAGCACGCAGGCTACTCAAGGAGTGAGCGACCGCTTCGATGCTGTGATACTTCTTCTCCAAAAGTTCGAGGCGTACATGACGCGGCTCGACGTGCGGCTGCAGGCGCCTCTCGTTCAAGCTACTCGCAGTCACACTGTCAAGATTCTCATCGAGATGTTGGGTGCCTTCGCCATCGCCATTGATATGATGCGACGACACCGTATCAGTACGTCATCTAGGTGGATGCCCTGTACCTTTGAGGCTAAGCGGGCTTGCAGAGCACTTCATCTCGGTACTTACTGGTGGAGGCCAAGATGTAAGCGGCGCGCTTCAGCGGCTTGAGACCCTTCAAGCAGAGGACACTCGCCTTAGCCTGGCCGAGCTGCATCTCGGTGTCCACTCGCTCTCATTGTCTGTGCACACTGGTATGACATTTCAAACAAAGATGCGGTGCATTTCAAATGGTCTGACGACTCATGCTCCAAGAGGCGGCCCGAGCGAAGGCCGACGTTGTCCAGCGCATCGAAAGGGCAACATCAGAAGTCACGACTCGCATCTCCGCAGATCTTCAAGCATGTTCGTCTTGCTTGCCTCTCGTTTGTGCACCATAGGATTGACCTTGATCTGCAGCGAAGATCTTCGAACTGTCCCATAAACTCGACGACTTCACTGCCAGTTGGGCAGAATGGAAACGCGACAGCCTCGCTAAGACCAACACCACCTCAGGCAGTCCGCCGGCTTCCATCAGCGGGCTTATCGGCAAGTTATTGGAGGCTTTTCGCGACTTACCGCCCTCCGAGCAAACCGTCATGCGAGATGCGGTCGCCATCATATATTCCCTTGCGGCCTATGCTGCTGGAGGTAACTCGGATACTGCCTGGTATGCGGCGATCCTGAACCCCGTGGCGTTCGTCTCCGCCTTCCTTCCGATGGCGGCGGCCTATATCGGCTTATACATCTGCTGGCGCCAAATGCGTGCTCTGCAATCCCCGACTGTCCCACCCTCTCCCAACGAACTGCGGTTGAACACAGTCGTGTTGATCGATGTCCTGGGCGCCCATCTCGTCCTGTCCCTGGATAGATGTTCATCATGGGCGGTGCGTACTTCCGTCTATCGCTGACTGAACCCCGTCTAAGCACGCGTGTGTACAGGATATTCACAGCCTTCTTCTGAGCCACTTCGCGGACAAGGATGGTGTGGAATACGTGCGATCTCACGCGTATGTCATCATGGACACCGCGGGACAGTCGGAGATCGTCAGCCCGAAGTTATGGGCGCTAACCGTGAGAGCGGGTATGACGCTGGAAATGGGCATCGTAGTCCGACAACCTTCCAATCTGCTTCGATGCCCCTGGTGCGAGTCAGTCGCTCAAGGAGCATCCGATTCCGAAGACGATGTACTCAAATGGTACGTACATAGCTCAACGAGGCTTGTTCCTGCATTCTGTGCCGTGCGTTGACTGTCAGACTAGCCGTGGCTGTAAACGATACTTCAGAGCGTCTACAGCAATTCCCACCAAACCGGACGAATCATACGAACAGTACGTAGCCCTTCCCCACGTGAAGCTCGGATGCTCATGTCCTCCGTCTCCAGGCTCAGTGAACGTCGTGGCGAGGACGCCTCGTCTGTACCTACCTCTCATGAGAGTTCTGCGGGCGCGGAGGTTGCCGATCCCGACCTTGACACCATACCCGACGATGGTCAAGTCCGCCGGTCAGTGAATACTATGGCGCTGTACCGAAGGATCGTTGTCGAACTACTGGACCATGACGCGCAGAGTGAGGTGAGTACCGCAGTGCTTTGCGTCAAACCAAGGGGATGATGCTCATCGTATCACAGTCCGCTGAAACACAAGAACCTTCACAAGAGCCATCCAATTCTGTGGACTATCGTAACATCCTCCTAGCGCTGGTCAACAATATCGGACAACCTCTACAGCGACAACTACTTGCGCAGCTTAGAGCTAAACTACCAAGTACCCCGCAGCAGGAACTCCTCGCGCTCGCGCACGAGACCCGTCTTCTCATATCTGAACTCAAGAATGGCTCGGAGAATGGCTTCCACGATGATAGCACATCCACGAAGGAATATAAGATGCAACTGCACCAGGCGAAGCTGTCTCTGTTGACCGATTTCGAACACAGTTTTCAAGTGGAGGTTGAGAGGCGCGGCGTTCTTTTGGGTAGCACAGTGGGGTCCTCCGCCGCGCGCAGAGGTTAGGTTCGCCGGTCCATTGCTGATCAGGTGGAGCCTGCGTGGGGGGTCGCCAGGGCCTGACGCGATAGTGCATGTGTGGCGATCGGACGTCTCGACGTTTGTATCAATAAGGATTGAGTGGTGTTACATACAGTATCATCAAGGGCCGTGTATCGTCCGAAATGCTTTTACTACAGTATTTGATACAACGGAGGTGGGATCAAGTAACTGAGTGGGTTTGCGTATATCTCATGTCGTGTATCAATGTGTAAAACTACAGTGCGGGAGGTATCGGATGGTTGAGGAACAGCAGCAAAGCAACGAAAGCGTGTACGCGTGACGATATGAGAAGAGGGACTGCAACGTGTGAGAGAGAAACCCAGGGAACAAGAGAGACCCAGTAAAAGTAAGATGCCAAGTTAATACAGACGACCATGACAGACGAGGGAAGACCAATTCCCCAAGACGTCGCGCTCATGTCCCGAAAGAGCTCGCGAAGCGCGGCCCGACATGCCCGACCCCATGTGCCCGTTGCGTATTTGGAACTGAAGGAGTTGAGACAGGATATATTTGGGGCTTGGTCGCAAAACGTGAGGTATCGGCTGACGGCAACAGCAGACGTTGACAAGTCCAGCAAGTTGTGTAAGCGGCAGGCCGGATTTGCGCTCAGACAATGAAAACCGAGCACATTCTCGAATCGAAGTGTTGGCGTAGCTCCGACGCTTTGACAAAGACCTGACCGCAATCATCGCCCGGACAAGTGACTAACGCTGGCTGGTGTCGGCGCGAGCTAAGATGGGCGTCGAGGCGAGGACAGGACTGGAAGAAGAGGTTGCATTGTGGGCAGTGGTTGTGGTCGACGGTCATGTGAGCTTTCAGTAACGCGTCCGTCGCGAAGAGCTGGGACGGGTTAAGCGGAAGCGCTCGTATGATGTGCATATCGACGTACGCGATCGCACTCTGTGCACTCAGGATGTTGCCTGCTGTCGTAGTGCTCGTATATGTCTGTTTCCGAACAGCATTTGCCGCACGCTTCGCAGTAAGGGTGATCCGGATGTTCCTTGAAGTGTCTTGCAAGTTCACCTTCGTTTGGATGGAACTGGTAGGAGAGCATCAGCGAGACATTCCAAGCTTCCAAGGACCCTCCAGAGGAAACGGTGTACCAGAGGCTCCCACGGCTCAAGCGCTTGAGCCTTGGTCGCGACCATCATTATCCGCCAGTCTCGCGCGGTGACCGGTTTCCCGCGGAAGAGATGTAGCAATAACCAACCTTACGGTGACCAGCACACCAGAAGTGGCAGCCCTCCCAGTGAGCTTCAAGACTTTGGCGATGCTGGAACTGCTGCTTGCAGTACTGGCAGAAGGCGTGCCGCGAGCTTTGCACGAGATGCTCTTCTAACATCACCGGACTGTCGAACTCCTGGTCGCAGTGCCAGCAGTATTCGTGATTCTCCGAGTCGCGCTTATGCAGTCCGTAGTCTTGCTCGGTAAGGAAGGCCTGGTCGCACGCGCCACAGTAAGTGCCCATGATGAATAGAGGAGGAACAGACAGGCGCTACGCAAATATTTCACCAAACCTTTATCAGAGCCACTCAGCGCTCGACAACGTGCTCCGGGCCGGTCTGGGATCACATCGAATGGAAGTTGCGGCGGCCTAACCGCAGCGATCAATTGAAAGCCCACACACACGAACCCTATCGGGCCCGAACGTCCACGCCCAGTTTGGGCAGTGTACGCCTATAGCGATGTGGAACCCTTCCGTGCTTTCTCCGAGTGGCGGAGTTCATAAGTACAGGTTCGCATTCATCTGCGCGAAATATTGGCGGAGGGCTTCGAAGAGCTCAGTGTTGCGCGGTCATGACCGAACCGACGTCGGTCACGGTCATCTCCCACGGGCATGACCGTGTCTGGTCATGACCAGTCATGACCGCGTTGACTTTGATAGGTACGCCGCTGCGCGCGCAACTGTACCATTTGTGGCGAAAGGGCTGAGAGAGCCCGCGGCCGGCATTCGCCGAAACGCGCCGGGGTGCATCTAGCAATTTCCGCGGCGTGCACCGCCCTACAAATGAGCGTCACCTCTCGACGGGCGATGGTCAAGGTCATCGACCTACGGTTATGCCCGCGGCACTGACTGGTCATGACTTCTCGTGACCAGTCAATGACCGTCGCAACACTGGAAGAGCTAGCGGTTTCGTGGCCGCCGCGCGGCGACAGGTGCCAGCGGAGCGAAGCTCGCTTGAAGCTCGCCGCAGGAGGACGTATGTTCGCCTCGGGTACATGCGATACGTGTACAGGCTGATACGCTCGTCGCGATCTTAAATGTTCGTCTAGACACAGCATTTATGTTCGTCACGAGAAGGTCAGCAGTACGGCCTCTGTATCGGCTATATCGAAGCCGTCCGTGATAGCGGCAGACTCTACAGACAGAGTCCCCGACGCTCTCCCATCTACACCCTCGAAAGACTGGCCTGCCCACGTAATGCCCGAAGTTGAGCTAGCCGTCCTAGGTTTGCCCTGAGCCCCTGGCGTCTTCCTCAAGAGATGAGATGGTACTCACGGTACAGCCAGCCTCGCAATCTGCATCGTATCATACCCCACATCCACGGCTACTTGAGGCACAAGATGCACGCTCTCGCGATCCGATCCATCTTCATAAGCCTGAAGATTCACAAAGAGTGCTCGCGAAAGTATGCCTCCGTCGAAGAACGCGAACCCCGCAATCTGCGGGTTGGTTAGAAGGTCGAGCTCGGCGATTGTCGTGGCGCCGCTGTTGCCGATGGCTTCGGCTACGACCAAAGCAGCATAGTAAGCGGGTTGGACGTGTGGTGGGAGAGGGGAGGATAGAGATGCGCCGGTCTCGATGTCGCGCGTTAGGGTCACCGGTTGGAACTGCGTGGAAGCGTTAGTTTAGCAGCTGCAACGATGATAGATGTAGGCGACGCACGAAGTTGTACTTGAACCCGACACCATTATGGAAGAACAACCTCTCAATCCCAACCTTCGGCGCCTGCAACGTATACACGATGGCCCACAATGCAGCGGCGGCCGTATCGCTGATTCCCGGTGCACCATGGCACGAGAACGAGTTCGTCTCGCCCAGAACGTACTTCAGCCCGTGCTGATGTACGAGAGCTATGTCATTCTCGAAGAGCGAGAGGTTGCCGCGGATGTTCGTCTTGTTCATGAGAGCCTGGCGTGCGTCGACTATGTCCGGAACGGGGCCGTCGCAGTATGAGCCGGAATAGTGATGCTGAGATATCCTGCATATTGCGTTGATCAGCGCGTCTTGACTTAGGGAGCACAGTGCAGATGCACGTACCATTTGATGTCCTGGCTGGCCGTGGAGTTGAGAAGCCCATCCGAAATCGCGTTCGGCACAGTGAACCCATCCCTCTGAAAGCCGAACGCGAGTGCTTGTATGGGTACCTCGCTTCCCATAAGCTTGTTCGCAACCGTGGTAACATTCGCCGCATACGTTGTCCATCTACATTCGTACGCGTGAGAAGACGGACAAGGCTTCCGACGAACGTCCGAGATTAGGCTCACTCCTTGACGTAGTCGCCCACATCCCAATTCGGATCGCGGAGGTTATGCTTGGGTCGAGGGTACTCGTCGGGCTCGTTCCCCACTTCGAGCGCTTGGAGGGTTACACCCGCGTTCTGCATAGCCGGCGACTTGAAAGCCTGACAGATCGCCATCGTCTCGAGATACGTCTCTGTCATATTCGCAGACCCGAAGTTGACGTCCCAGATAACGCGTGTATCTGAGGAATGCCACGTCAGTACGACGCGGAAGACAGGATGTGATGCTATACGTGCTTTGCGGTAGACTGCTGGCCAGAGCATAGTATCCCTGTCCGATCGTGACGTTCGTCGCTTCGGGGTACGGAACCGATGCCGTTCTGTTAGGAAACACGGCCTGCGCCTGCTACCGATCACGATCTCAGATGAGCATCTCAGATATGAATGGACGCCAGGAGAACAGTCACTCACAACATTCCCAGACACGAACTTCGTATGATCAGCCGAATCAGCGCCGATACGGATGGGTGGTGGTACGCCTGTTCGTTGCGCGAGATTGTCGAGGGCGTTGAGGAAGAGCGGCGAGTTGGCCCATTCAGGCCAGCGGTCACCTTCGAGGGAGAAGGAGAGGAGGGTTTGTGAGACTGGGACGGAGGATTGCGGTGGTGTTGAGGGCAGACTGATAGGTACATCCTGATTAGGAAGAAGGCCCAAGAATAAGGCGAGGACGGCCAGGGTAGCGAGGTTGGCTGACATAACTGGCAGAAGAGACGGAGAAAGAAGGCGACCCAACCGCAACCCAAGGTAAGGAAGGAGGAAAGACTAAAGAGAGACGCGGGAGGAGGGTACGCACACCAAGTCCTCGCCGGGGTGGGACAGTCCTGCGGGTCCTTGCACTGCCAACGTATATACGTCAGCTCACAGGGAGGAGCTTTATGCCCGTACCACCCGTTTGTTCCTGCGGTTGCCTGATAGTGATTCGTTCGGCCCACGACATGAAGTTCAGCGGCGCAGAACTTCCGGATTGCACGTCTATCGCTCGGCTAACAAGCTCGATACCGGCGTTATCATGAACTCAAGAAGACGCAAAGGGCAACTCGGTTTCCGAGACTTGATGGTGTTTATCTCGGCGATCATGGATCGTGAAACACATCTTACCCTGTTCACGCTAAGTAGAACATATATCTGGAATATATGCTGCAGTGTTTGAGAGCGAGCATGTGGAATGGAGGAGGCTTGTGAACAGGCGAGAGATTCTCCGGTCCGCGACAAGCGGGTCAAACAAGAGTGCAGGCAGATGGGTCATGACATCTCATCAAGAAGTCTCCGGCGCCAGCCCTTATGGCGGCTATCGTACACATACAGAGCAATCGTCTACTTTTCTGTACATCGGCAAGTTAGCTCCGAGTTAAGCGCTGAAAGTGACGGATATAGTGCGCACTTCCAATCTTCAACCATTTGGGTATCTTCTTATCTCCCGAGGACAATAAGGCGCCGCCCGTCTTTGGCCGCGAGGATGAAGACGAGGAAGATTGATCCTTCTTGTCGTAGTCTGGTGGCGAAGGTAGATCGATGGCCGTGGACAAGACTTCTGGAGCGAGGGGAGCGGGTACTGTCGGGTCTGTTCCGCGCGTGGTTAGCATGTGCGTGATAGCTTATTAGAAAGCCTCACGGTTGAGCGCTTCATCCAGGAATCTCAGCTGGAGCACAGCACGCGGAGCTAGGTCCAGCTTGTACAACGAAAGGTCCCGGACGGCAAGATCAGACACCTTCAGCTCACGGTTCGGTAGTTGATCTGTCATCATGTTCAGGACATTCTTCACACGGCATTCATGGTCTTCGTACATAGAACAAATTTGATGGGCTTGACATCTTCCCGCAGAGAGCTCCTGGCGAAGGCATATATCGAGCGTATCTTATCCGTTGACGGGAAGACCTTCTCCAGTTGAGTGCCGTCTGCGAACTTGACCCGTATTGTTGTCTGACTAGTATATCAGAATAAGATTTATAGTGCACACATGCGCCGATGAAACTGACTGTGGGCCATCTACTCTCTTTCTTCTTCTCTTCCCTTTCACGCATCTCTTGGGTTTGTAACGGCCTATTCTTCAATGCCTCCTTACGAGCGTGCAACATCGACTGGGCCTCCTTCAGATCAGCCGATGACGGTTCGTAGAATGAGTCAGGTAGGGCCTGAGTTGAAGAAGTCGAGCCACTCTGTGGTGCCCTATACAGCTTATAGTCTGTTGGCAATCCAGAAGTAGATGCCGCTGGAGGAGGCGAAGGCAGTGATGCAGGCGTTTCGGGCGCGGCTTTGGTCTCAGGAGTGGTATCCATTGTAGATGATGGGATGCTCAGTGGGAAGATGGTGGTACGGATACAAGGAACGTGGTTGAGAACGCGACCGCGACGCGCGTTGTGGACGCGTACAGGTGTTGGTTTGATCGAACTGTTCAACTGATTAGATGCGGAGATCTGACTGGCGCCGGATGACGCTGACTGAGTCGGCTGGCTGCGCACACTTATCTCCTCCTTCCAGGACGGACGTGCACACGATGGGCCACTCTTGTTCACCGAGCTCCCCTATACGCCCCGTCGGACTTGTCTCTCTACCACCACCATCTCTACCCTCGCGGTTTCCCCTGAAATGGCTCCGGAAAATGGCTCGGCGCGCGGGATAGTGTTGCCCCGCTCTCTGCTGGATACTGACTTGTACAAGGTATTGCACCCTATTTCACCTTGCTTATAGAGTTCGCACTTAAGCTTCGCTCAGCTCACGATGCAACAAGCCGTCATGAAGCATTATCCTAACGTGCAATGTTCTTACCGCTTCACGCACCGAGATCGCGTGAAGGGAAGGCATTTCACTCGCGCTGTCTTTGATGCCTTTCAGGAGTCCGTGAACCGTAAGCACGCTGCGCACTCCTACATGTCACCGAGCTGAAACCCCAACTGTCATACAGACTTCGGCGATCTGGCTTTGACACCCGAAGAGCGTACATGGCTCGCAGCAACATGCCCATACTTCACACCAGACTACCTCGACTACCTCTCGACCTACCGCTTCAAGCCAGAGCAAGTAAAGCTCACATTCGTACCGCTTACACCCACCGGCAAGGAAGGCGACATCGAGATGGAAGCCGTCGGACTTTGGTCTGAAGCGATATTTTGGGAGGTGCCACTCATGGCTACATTATCGGAGATATACTTCAAGCTGGAGGAGACGGACTGGAACGAGGATGGGCAAGAAGGTGCGCCCCTGATCATCACTGCGTCTCCTCCACCTAATCTGGATCCCGGTCAGAACAGGCGGCTGAGAAGACGAAGAAGCTGTTGGACGCTGGCTGTCTGATAAGCGAGTTCGGCACGCGCAGACGCCGGTCGTTCTATATTCAGGATCTGGTTGTTCAGCAGATGGCGCGGGTACAGGCTGAGAACACTGGCAAAGGGAAGTTCCTGGGGACGAGCAATGTTTATCTCGCCATGAAGCATTCTACGACGCCTGTGGGCACCATTGCACAGTGCGTATACTCTGCCCGCAACACATTGAGCTGAGTCTGACTTTGCTCACAGCGAATGGTTCATGGGTGTTGCCGCGCTCACCGGCTACGACAACGTAAATGGTCGAGCAATGAACTTGTGGGAGCAAGTCTACGGCAAGTCTTTACTCATCGCGCTCACGGACACTTTCTCGACCAAGGCGTTCTTCAAGGTATGAGCAGCCTCACAACCACTGCCAGCAAAAATTCTCACGCTCTGTCTAGGACTTCATCCAGGATCAGGAGCGCGCCAAACGCTGGACAGGCCTCCGTCAAGACTCCGGTGACCCGTTCGCCTTCGCGCCACTCGCCAAAGCGGCCTACGATTCCCTCGGCATCGACGTCCACGAAAAGTTGATCATATACTCCGACTCGCTTACCGTGGACAAGGCGCTGAAGTTGAAGGAGCAATGTAGCAGCATCGGCTTCATCGGTCAGTCTACTCTCCACTATCGCCCGGTTCTCTTTCTAACACGCCATAGCATCGTTCGGCATTGGCACGCATTTGACAAACGACTACGTTAAGGCGTCCGATCCAACTGAGAAGAGCAAAGCATTAAACATGGTGATCAAGCTTGCGTCTGTTAACGGCAAGCCTTGCGTGAAGATCTCGGATGACCTCTTGAAAGTGAGCCATCTAATCCATCCCAACCATAGCCTGGTTCTGACTGTATTACCCCACAGAATACCGGTGACATGGAAACTGTCAATATGGTTAAGGACATGCACGGTCTGCCCAAAGCATAGAGGGCCTAGATGCTATGTTGCGCGTATATATATCATCTGATCGAGCCGCGTTGGTATCTGCTTCATATGTATGCAACTATCTAGTAGACTGTATCTTAGAGATCATGCGCCCGATTAGGATCCACAACGACGAAGTCAACCTAATGCCCTTCAATCCATGAAATCGTGCGATTCCACTAGGTTATTGTACATCAAGATAGGTATACAGGGGATCCGATCGTGGCGTTCGTGATGATACTTTCGTGTCGGCGTCGTGTCCCAAATAAACGATTAGTTGAATGTGACCATGACAACCTCCGTCTCGTGAACGTCAACCCCAGCGCTAACGGACACGGTCTGGGTCTGGAGCTTCCCAGACACGAGCGCATCGTCAGTCTCGTACGTCTGTCCACCCCACGTCACGCCCGACGTCGACTCCGCCGTCCTAGCCGACAGTCGTCAGCTCTGCGGTGTATCGGACTTGCTCAGTCTGAATGGGGCTCACGGGACGCTCAAGCGCTTAATGGTCATACTACCCGACCCTCCAAGCGCAACGTGAACAGCGGAACGTGCAGCTCCGTTACCGTTGAAAGCGACCAAGTTGATGAAGAGTGCGCGCTTCAAGACGCCATTGTCGTAGAACGCGTAGCCCGAGAGTTGCGAGTTATTGATGGTGAGCTCAGAGACTGTTGTTGAGCCTGAGGTGCCGATGGCTTCTGCAGCGATCACGGCGGCGTAGTATGCTGGTTGGATGTGTGGAGGTAGGGGTGTCGAGAGTGGGGTGCCGTCGTCGATGGAGCGTGTCAGCGTTACTGGTTGGATCTGCACAAGGGTCAGCAAATCATATGCTACTGCGGAGGGGAGAGGCACGCACGAAGTTGTACTTGTAGCCGATCTATAGAATGTATGTGAGCAGACGCGAGCGCAATTGACGTTGAAGAGACACTCACTCCTTCGTGGAAGTAGACACGCTCCATGCCTGCGATCGCAGAGGAGAGAACATACTGCACATCACGACACGTCAAATGAGGCTCTGAAGGTATGGACTGGGTTAACACGTACATCCTGCGAACATAAGATCAGCACAGTGTGGATGAGAAGAAGATCCGGGGGAGCTCACCAAAGCCCAGAGCGAAGCGCCAGCGGTATCGCTGACACCAGGGGCGCCATGGCAAGAGTACGAGTTCGTCTCGCCGAAGACATACGGCAAGCCTAGTGCATGCGCGGCGCTGATGTCTGGCGAGAAGGTACTGACGTTGCCACGAATGGAAGTCTTGTCCATGAGGTTCTGAAGAAGGGACTCCGAACCCGAGCAAAACGAGCCAGAATAATGATGTTGCGAGATCCTAGGAAAGCGTGGGTATATCTGCGGCGCTAACGGGGCATGCAGGCGTACCACTTGACTTGCGAACCGGCGTCAGAGTTTAGAATGCCCAGCTTGAAGGCGGCTTCCGGTGAGAAGCCGGAAGTGGTATGGGAACTCTCAGCGAAAGCGATACCCTGTAAGGCAACGTCTTTTCCGAGTAACGCGTTCGCTGTTTTGGTGACGTTCGTGGCAAAAGTGGTCCACCTAAACCTCCGTCAGTGCCCATACATACGAACTCTCAACATCGTATGAATGAACGCACTCGGGGACATAGTTTGATATGCTGTAGCTGCTGTTCCGAAGACCGTTGTGGTTGTACAAGTCCGCTTCGTTCCCGATCTCTATCGCCTGTAGGGTAACGTGCGCGCTCTTCATTGCCGAGGATGTGAACGCCTTGCAGATCGCCACAGTCTGGAGGTAAGCCGCAGTAAGATTGTTCCCGCCAAAGTTTACACCCCATATGACGGGCGTCCCTACAAACGATGGAAACCCCGTCAATATGGAGTAACGGTTACGCGCGCGATAGAAGAACGCACCTGAAGGCAGATGCGCAGCGAGATTGTAGAACCCTTGTCCAGCGGTGATGTTCGTGGCTTCGGGGTAAGGCACAGTGGCGGTAATAGCTGGGAAGATGTCGGTAGCGTACTCGACATCGAAGCTGAAGTTGGTGTGGTCCTCCGAGTCTGCGCCGATGCGAATGCGCGTTGGAAGGCCCGATAGCGTCTTGAGATTCTCGAGGGCGTTGAGCCAGAAGGTGTTGGGCGTATTGGTGCCTATCCAGTCCGTCCAGCGGTCCTGCTCGATGGAGAATGCGACCAGGTCTTGAGCCACGTCGATGGCAGAGGAAGGTGCCTGCGTCGGTATCGTTATGGGCACATTCTGCGCGCGGACGAGGTGCAACGCGGACAGAGCGAGTGCGAACGATGAAACGCGACCCTTCATGACGAGATCTTGCGGAGGGGAGGGGGCGAGTATTCATCGGATGTGTTCTATCCCTTGTTTTATGTAGCAGCGAAGGATTGAGCGCGACTGTCATGCGGCCGAGCAACGCGAGGCAGCCGGGCGCGGGGCAGCATCACGAGCTACATTAAGTTATGGTGCCGCCCTTCGTCGGGGATGACGGGACGAATGGGCAGATTCAATACCTCACGGAAGATGGCGCGCCGGCCATAACGGGTAGGTTAACTGTCACGGGTGGTCGCCGTTGGTCGAAGGGGAGTGTTCGCTTATACCGGAAATCCCTTTCTGGATGGTCGTCGCGGGAAATAAAGTGCATATCGGTGCGGTGGCCCGACAAGTTGAACTGGAAGGATGTAGCGGACAATGTGGTTGTGGCGGCCATGACTTGTCGGCTGACAGGCTTCAGAAGATGAACGGGTTCTGTACAAAGTCGTGCAAGAGCTATTCACAGCACATTCGCATCGATAAGAGTCGTTTTATTGGGCGTAGCCAAGCTACAAGAAAGCGACTAGGGCTGTGGTCATGATGGCATGAGGCAAAGCCGCGCGCTGGCTGCGTCATAACGCCTGCCACGCGGCATGTCGTGTCTACACCTCAGCGCCAGCCTCAATCACAACCACCACCACCCAGGCTGCGACTATCTCGAGCCCTCATTCGCTCCCCGGCCATCCAATTTTGAAGCCATCCTGGCCGTACATGAGAGACCAACGCATGCGTCAGTGCGACAACTGGGCAGCTGACTTGTGCTTCGTCGACAGAAGACGACCGAAGAGTGAACTTCCATCCATGGAAGGCATTCGCTGCACTTCTATTTCTTGCCCCTTGTACCTTGTATCGGTCTTTGAGAAGGCGTATCGAAGGACGAGGCACACTCGAAGAAGCGTGCAGTGCTTCAGGGAGCAGCTTGCACAGGGCGCGCACCCTCTTTCCTGAGCGGGCGGACTCAGAGAGCACAGCGTGTGATCAGGCTCTGCGGCGCCGATAGGCTATATCAGTCCACCGCATGTATCCTAGGAGCTGAGAACTGGCGTATAATATGCGCGAGTCGCTGACCTTTGCATCGCCTAGAGCAAAGCATGCGGCACCTTCGAGTTGGTCTGTTGGCTAGCACGACTTCCTCGAGATCTACCCCGCTGCGCTGACTACCACAGAGCGCTCTATCGGGGTTATCATCTGCTGAAGATGACCAATAGTCACAGACTTGCAAGCCGTCTATGCATGTGGTCGTGTGCATGTACGACTACTCTCGCCCGGATCAACCCGACGGCCTTCCCACTCAGCATCGCCCTCAACGACGCGCCGCGCGCAAGCACAACATCAAACCTCGTTCTATCATCTTCCTACCACTCTTCCTCGCTCCGGGTATGCAACACGCGACTTCGACCGCGATAACCATCTTGCACTGAATTGACCTTCACGCGAGTCAATGCCATTCACGACTTCATCAATCTGACAACGCCGCACTTCCTACGCGATGCCATCTTTTCGGCGTGTATAATGAACGAGGCACAACTATATAAACCGACACAAGGACGCATCGGTCGCTTTTTGGCCCTTTGACCCACCTTCACACAGGATACACGATGCGTGTGGCGGCGAGTGCGATCGCGCTGTTGAGTCTGGGTGTCCAAGCCGTCGTGGCGCAGAATTTCACTGTGCCGTCGACTTGGAGGCGGCCGGAGTCTAGTGCCTCAGGCACCGTGCGCATACAGCTCGCTCAGGAAGCTATAGCGCCTTTGATACCGACGATCCAGTCATCCAATGGGACTAACTACCGTACGTCGAGCCGATGAGTCACACTTCTTATGCGCGTTTCTGACTTGTGCCACAGAGTTGAATACATGGGAGTCAGCCAATCTGCTAGCTGTTATCGCGAACAACGACTATGTGTCCTATACGTCGACAAACGGACAGCTCGTAGTGGACAGTCTCGTCGCATTCAGCTCCTCTCATCCATCCTTCTATGATACCCAAGTCCCGGTGAGCGATTCGCCACATACGCCCGCGGGAAAGATCACTCATGTACCCAATTCACTAGCGAAATGTTGTCAGTGACTCTCTGTAAGCAGTCATACCAACCGATGCATTGTGACACAGAAGTGAATCTGAGCGCAGGATGTGGGGACTGGCATCATTCTACGCCTCTCGCGCATATGGGAGCGCCCAAGCGCTCAGCTTTGCCCGCTTCATCTGGAGCGAGGCGTTTCAGTACTTTGTGAACCCGGACGATGCAGCTCGAGGGTCCATGACCAGTAAGAGCGGGACGTTCTCGCAGACGTGTGCTGGCCGTGAGATGCGCTGCTTTCCTCATACGTGATCGACCTGACTTGGGTCATAGATAGTACTGCTGGTGCGGTATTCTGGCAAGCGAGCACTCCGGCCGACTACCAAGTGAATGGCGAGACGATCGGAGCCTTCGTAGCGTGAGCATCCCTCTCTCAATCCCTCCAGTGCATTTGCTCATAGACCCGCAACGCAGACTCTCAGCCTACCTCTGCGAAGCAACCTCCAACATAACCTACTGCGACTCCGCCTCACTATCCGCCCAATTTATGCAAGCCCTGATGTACAACGGCGAGTACATCATCGATACGATCTTCCTGGACACTTGCGAGACGAGTGCCGCCGCGTGGTCGTACAACACCGGGTTCTTGCTTGAGGGTTTGGCGGTGCTGATATCGACTCCGGTGGCAGGTGGCCCTGCGAAAGAGCAGTTCGGGTCTTTGTGAGTGTTGTTGTTTGCGAGTTGGTGATAAGGTTTGTGCTGACGATGTGTAGTTTGCAGCAGCTTGTGGCATCGTCTGTTGTGTATCCTGCTTGGACACAGTCGACGGGGGATAATGCTGGAGTCATGATCGAAAGTGAGCTGCGTCGTGACCATGCTGGATGAACCTTGCTCATAACGACTGCAGATGATAGTACCCCCGCATTTACGAACGAAGTCAAGGGAGTGTATAAGAGTGCGCGGACAACTTGCTCACTGCCACTACTCTGAGACTGATGGTACGCCAGCGATCTTCATCCGCGGATTGCGCGAAGTCTGGCAACGCTCAGGCCATTTCGCGGATATCGAATTCGCGAACTTCGTCGGAGCGTTTCTGATCGTACAGGTGAGGCTCAGTGGGTATGACTGTGTCATTGCAAGGCTCTAATGCGCACGCCATATCTACAGTACAATGCTCTAACCCAACTCGCGAGTGACGCATCGACGACGCCCACCTACTATTCTCCGATCTGGGTTGGTCCTCCGGTCGGCACCTTGCTCCCTTGGGGTCAAGTTCCAGCGGCCGAGATGCTGAACGCGGTCGTCATCGCAAACGCATCATCCACATCACCAGCATCTTCACAAGCGTCAGCAAGCCTCCAAACCTCCCTCGCCTCGTTCACATCGACCGCCACAGCGCCCAACTCATCATCCACCACCACCCCCTCAATATCCCAATCCGCGTCCCGCGGCTCTTCCGGCCCGAAGATCACCGTAGCAGAGATCGTCCTCTCCGTCCTAGGAGGCCTAGCCGTCCTTGGCATACTCATTGCCTTCTTCTATACCCTATACAGACGAGGATGGAGCGGCGTGAAGCAGATGTTTAAGAACGGGTGGTCCAATCGCGGGACGGCCGTTGCAGGGAGCACGGCGCTTGCGAGCGATACGGGCGTCAATAATATTGATGCCGAGAATATGCGGCAGGCGCCGGTGTTCGTCGATTCAGCTGCTTCGCCTGTCTCTTCTGCTCCACGGTCACCATCGGTACGGACTCCTCCGGCGACATCAAGCACAACACGAATGCCGGAGTTCGTGCAAGGGTCTAGTAGGACGGTTGAGCCCGAGATGGGAGAGGCTGATGCGCATGGGATATCGATCGTTTCACGTCAGCGCTTGGAGTGGAGAGGTGACTAGCTGACTGTTGGACATCTGGACGTTCGAATTTGCTTTGCTTCTTGCTTTGTATTGCGTAGTATCGATACCGCTTATTCGCTTCCTTGGTTGAACTTTATGGGCATATGATTGTTCACGCAGTGATATTTAGGCTCGTTGCGACGAGACGGATTACGTTCATTACATATTGATTATTGATATTGTTTGTTGCGCACAAGCTACGAAGCGCTGATCAGTCTTTGTGGGGCTGTTGTACGGCCCTTCGATGGGCTATAACGTCCTTGCGTTGATTATCGATGTGGTTGCCCACGTCACCCGGGTCGAAGTGTAGCACAGTTGTATAGTAGAGACAGACGCCGGGGCGCTCAAAGGGCGAAAGACTTGGCTTGAAACCGTATATGGGGCAAAGTTCACGGTAGGCGCCGCACATCCTGGCAGCAGACCAATGTCGGGAACAGCGGGAGACAAAGTGGTCAAGTTGTGTGAGACGACTAAGTCCGAATTGGTGTACAGCGCTAGGTGTGCTGCAAGCATTGGCGCACTTCTTGCGAACAGCGTTCTTGAGATTCAGCCCCCCAAGGAGACGGAACGTATACGCTAGCCTTGAAGCACCGATTGTTCCCCAGGAGAGGCTGCTCAGATGCTTTGATGACAGGCACGGCGCGGCCGCGAGGCTATTGGGATTCCCATCGAACGTCCGGTTAAGCTGTGCGCGCTGAGAGCCGGAGAGTCAACAGGAGCCGACGGGGGGAAAAGAACGCCGAGTGTAACGTCAAAGACGACGGGGAAAGAAGCCAGGGGCGCTTGAACGACGGCCGGCAGCGCACTGGCTTGGTCTGCAGACCACTGCAGAGTTGAGTATATCCCCGAAGAGCTGTCACGGGTAGAAGCTCATGTGTCCACTCCAGTGCATGAGAAGAGGGGAGCGGCGTCGCGAGCAGGGAAACGCGAGGCCCAACCGAATTTCGGAGCCCAGCGGTGTAGAGAGCACGACGGCGCAGCAGGGAAGACACGTTTACTGATGATCGGATACGCGATATGCCAGTTGAAATGTTGTGGTGTGGCTTAGAGAACAAAGCAAGGGGTCGGACAGTCGAGCCGGAGGGGCGAGGCGTGAGAACGCGTCGAGACATGGAAATCGTGAACTCGCGCTCTTTAGCGCGTAGACGCAACTATGGCCAGTCTACCGCCTCAAGAGTACCCGCCCCAGCCTCAGGACGTGCCGATGGAGGGCGTTCAGCAGCACCAGCCTCCCCCGCCGCACGGGCACCCCGGCCCGCCCGATATGATGCCGCCACCTTCGACGCCAACGCCCGCACCGCCGTCCCGCAAGCGCAAGAAGAACGACAACGGCGAGCCGTCTTCCCCAGCCGAGCCCCGACGTCTCAGGCGTTCCCACGAGGCCTGTGCACGCTGCAGGAGCAAGAAAATAAAGGTGAGATTTCAGAGTCGGTGAAGGAGAGAGAAGGGTGCGAGGGCGCGCCCCGCCATCGGACCTGGCCTGGCAAGTCCCGCCGGGCGACACCGTCGGCATTTTCCAGAGCAGCGCGTCAACCCGCCTGCCCGACATCCTCTCGGGTCTTGCCGTCGATGTCCTGCCCATCGGACTGGTTATCGCTCAGATCGCCCGTCCCCAGCGCTCAGGCGCCGCCGTCGTGTCCGTCGTCGCCGTCGTGTGCTTATTAAGCTCGACGCTATGCGTTATATGGAGATATTTATCTCCGCTTCATGAGCCTTTGGATATATCGAGCAGTCTCAAAAGGCTTCTCCTTGTTGTGCTCTCAAAGTGGACACCGTTGAGCACCTCCCGCCGCCGCATGACGCCTTCGGCATGATCAGCGGCTGGCAGGGGCGCTTTCGGGTCTAGTTCGCCTCCTACCTCCGTTTATCTTCGGGATGTACGCGGTAGCGGCACCAAGCCTCGTGTCGAGGACATCTTCTGACCTGCTCACGATGTTCCCCACCGCTATCATTGGCGCCCCACGCTAACACAGGCGCCCTCATAAGCGCTCGGTCGTGTTCTATGAATCTACATGTTTTGTTCCATCATGCTGATTCCATGTCATTCAGTGCGACTCGAAGCATCCTCGTTGCTCTGCGTGTGCCACAGCGGGAACGCCCTGTCATCAGGAGGACCGCCACCGGCAGACATTGACGCCCCGTGGTTATCAGGAGCGTCTCGAGAGACAGCTTGCGCTCTGCGATGCACTACTTAAGCACTACAATCCCAACTTCGAGATGGACAACATCGAGGACGCAATGCGCCAGGTCGGCTTGCCTACAGATCCTCCCACTGGACCGGACGGTCAAGTCTCGACGGCTTTCCAGTTCTCTGCCCCTGGACCTGGCTCACCTGGCTTCCCACCTCCTCCTCCCGGAATGATGCCACCTGGGTACATGCCGCCGTACGGGTACCCTGGTCCGCCGCCGCCGGGCGGTCCTTACCCACCGCCGCCGCCAGGCATGATGCCGCCGCCGCCGCACATGTTCAACCCTCATATACACCCCGCGTTCCAGCCTCCTCCGATGCCACCGGCTCAGACCACGCCCCCACCTCCCAACCAGAGCTCCCCGCCGACCCCTGCGACCCCTATGCCCACCACTTCGGTGCCACCTCCCGTTCAGCCCGAGGGTCCCGGTCCCGACATCAAGGGCAGCGACCCACGTTCGAACAACCTAGCCAACAACCTCGCGCTCGCCAAGAGCTTCGGCGTGTCGAGCGATATCATGCAGGGTCTCGCCCTCGGCCCCCACGGCGCCGACAAAGAGGATATATCCGTTGGCGGTAACGCTCTCTTCTCCGGCCGTGACCGCGAAGTGAGCGAAGGCGCCGCCCCGCGCGACCCTTCGATGTGGCTGCACCACTTCGTGCGCCGCGGAAGCATCGCGCCCGTACCAACTCCGAACCCTACACACGCCACGCCGCAGCCCGTTATGCCGACTGTGCCCGTCTGGCTGCCGAAGGACAGGGAGTTCGTGGGCGTCATCGTGAGCTCGTACTTCGAGCGCTTGAACTTCCATCGTCCGGTGTTCCTGCAGCACGAGTTCAATGCCCAGCTCGACCAGATGTACAATGGCGGGACGTCTGTGCTGGACCCGGGATTCTTGTGCTCGGTGTACCTTGTGCTTGCGCTCGGTACGCTCAGCGAGCTTAGTCATCGCGCGCTTAAGGCGGCGAATACCGGCAAGGGACAGGATAAGCCTGGAGAGCAGAGTACGAAGAGTCTGATGCCGGCGCAGTGGCCTGAGCATGAGGAGTTCTTCGAGCGCGCGCTTGCGGTGAAGCCAGAGTTGAGGGTCACCGTGAGCAGTCTGCAGGCGCTGATCCTGCTTCATTGGTATCTCTACACCGAGGTTTGTCATATTTCTCCCCAGTCTGCGGACATGCGCTCATGTCGTTGTGCAGAGACAAGGACGGACGCTCTGGCGTCTTGTTGGCAGTCTCGTTCGCCTGGGTATCGAGCTCGGGCTCAACCACGACCCGAGTACCCAGAACGTCTTCAACGAGGAAGAGAGCCAGCTTCGTATTCGTCTCTGGGGCATCATCCTCGTGCACGACCGTGGAACGTCGATTCTACTCGGCCGTCCTCTCGCCATCGCGCCGAGCGATTCCTCTACGCCTCAACCCACCCTCCCGCTTCAGAAGCACGGCCGACGGGACTTCAGCGAGCACTTCCTGTTCAGCCCGCCCATCGCCGCAATTCAAGCGGATATCATCCAGAGCCTGTACTCGCCGCAGACCGTCACGTCCGACCAGATCCAGCGCCACGCCACGCGCATTGTCAAAGGCCTCGTCGCATTCCGCACATCCTTGCCCGACCGGTACCAGTACTACTTCTCCGGTACCAAGGACTGGTCGCTCGAGCGTCGTTACGCGCTCGTTCAGGATATTACGGCCGACGAAGGCCTGACGCTGCTCAAGATCGGCATTACGCGGATCATGTTGCTGCGCGCGGTCTTCAGCAATCAGGAGCTGCCGATCCACAACAGGCGCAAGGCGCTCATGGACGCGATCATCGTCAGCCATAACATCATCATTGTGCACCACTCGCTCATCCGGTTCCCGGACATCGCGTTCTTCGTCTCGCCCATCCCACTGCACATCGCCGCGATGGTCATCCTGTATGGCCATATGAGCCGCTGCGACGCGCTTTCGCGGCAGATCGCGTTGGAGGATGTGTGGATGGCGCTGGACATGCTTCCGAGCTTCAGGTGGCGATGGGAGCACAAGACGCCGTCGCAGCAGCAGGCCGCGCCTCAGCTGCACGACGGAGGAGGGCACCCGCTTATTGCGCGGCTCGCGGAACAGGTGTTGCATGTTAATCTGCACCAGGCGGGCCCGTCCAGCCAGCCGCTACTGTTGCCGGAGATGGAGTGGGATATGGATCTCACGAGCCCGGTTCCTGCGCCTGCGGCGCCGCCGCAGGGGTATTACCCTCCGTCGACGCCGTCGACGAATGCGCCGCTCCCTGGCTCGCCGGAACGCGTACCGCAAGGACCGGTACCACAACCCGGCTCTGAGAAGATGCCAGACGTCCCGCCCGCGCTGTTCTACCCGTACTATACCTCGGGCGGTGCGCCTGCGGGCCCGAACGAGGCGCCCGTGAACACCACGACGAACGGCGGTGCTGGACGCGGTGTGCCGCAGGGCGGTCCTGGTAGTGCCGGCGCTGGTGCTGGGAGTGGTGGGAGCGGGGACTATACGGCTATTCTGGCGCAGGCGGGTGGTGGACATCCGAGCTGGGGGACGTCGAATGGGGATAGTTATGTGCTTGAAGAACGCGACGCGTGGGCGCAGCAGGTTCAGGCTGCTGCTGCGGGCGGGTATAATGGCATGCCCGTTGATCAGGCTCAGTGAGCGTGCGCTATGGATGTGGAGGATCTCGTGGAGTGTTGAGAAGGGGAGGGGAGGATGTGCTTTGATTTGGCTGTGAATTGCTTTGTGCTCCGATGTTCTCTGCTCCTGTTCCCTGTGCTCGTCGTTCGCCTGTGGCGAAGTCTCTCTTGTATATCGGTCACCCACGTTTCTCATACATACTCATGCCTTTATGATATATGGTTCTTGACTTTCCCTTCACCTATGACCCCAACCTCCAACTATGCAAAGTCCACGTAAACGCAAGAGAGTGTGAGAAAGCGATGGACCGAACTCACGAGATCGCGTCGTAACCCTAATCCGAGGTCACGGCATTCTCCGATCAAAGCAATATACCGACGGAATTAGACTTTGTCTGCTCTCTTCAACGACACCTTTGCTAGGTCTGTATATATCGCCGTTTCTATATTCCTCCTCAACAATGCTGAACGTGATGTGCAGTCACCGCTGTCTCCAAAATGAGTTACGTCGCTCCCAAGGGTGAAAAAGAGTACGACGCGACGGGCGCGCCCGTCCCGGCCGCCAAGATGCACAAGATCCGCATCACGCTCACCAGCAGCAACGTCAAGAACCTCGAGAAGTGTGCGTCTATTATATGTATGTTGGTAGTGAATATAATACTGATTGGGTGTGTAGTCTCGGGCGACCTCATCAACCGCGCGAAGGACAAGCAGCTCCGCGTTAAGGGCCCCGTTCGTCTCCCCACCAAGGTTCTTAAGATCACTACCCGCAAGACCGTGCGTTCATTCGTTCTGCATAATGACATTGTATCTGAATGGAGTTTTCCAGCCTTGCGGTGAGGGTTCGAAGACCTGGGACCGCTACGAGCTCAAGGTGCACAAGCGCCTCATCGACCTCCACTCGTCCAGCGAGATCGTCAAGCAGATCGTGCGTGCTCCTATCATCATCTTTGTCTACCATGTAACTGAATTTGGACTGCAGACGAGCATCTCGCTCGAGCCCGGCGTTGAGGTTGAGGTCACCATCTCCAACTGAACTCTCGGAGACGGAGCTATGCTTGCCTGCACCTATGTCCTTATGTCGCATGCCCTCTTGCAATATGACGTTGTTTGCTCGGTGAAAGTGCTGTGCGATGTCGTCTGTCGCTGCTGTCGACTAGATACGCCCTCGTCGGTTGTGCGGGGTGAACGACGCGAGTTGTTTCCAGGCGTACGTGCGAGACTCGCGTCGGCTCGCATTCTTGCTGTTGACTACGACCATCGCGTTGTGTCCCATTTTCGTTCGCCGCCGAGCTTCAGACTGTATATCAGGGTTGCTTCGGCCAGTAGGAGGCTCTACATGTGTATGGACGTTCGAGGTCGCCGCCGCAGATGAGCGCTTGGACACACATTCTCAAACACCTACTTCTGATGGCGCAGTAATTCGGTCCCGCTATCGCCAGCGCGGTATTGACCCTGAGCTCGACGTACGCCTTTTCGACAGGTAGGTACAACGCGCCCCGACTCCCGAGAATATGACGCCGCTTAGTCGAGGGGCTGAAAGTCCGTTGAATGGACGATCGGCCAATATCACGTAGGTCCTTGTCAATCTTTGACTGGTCGTGATGCGGACGGAGTATGGGCGCATATAGACGCCGCGTACGTATATAGGTGCCCCAGACGCGGTGAGCTGCGTTTGCATGCCCCACTTCCCACTCTCATTGTCCGGTGCACGCCGCTTGCGACGGCATGGATGATGCGAAAGCGCTCAAGATTGGGATGTATACGGCGAAGTCCCATTTGATTGCTACGTTCCTTGTCACTCTCTTTCTCGGTATGTCGACTTTGAGCGTCATATACTGACATGAAGTTTACGATTGACGTCTCGCCTAGGTTTCAAGTACGTGTATACTGCTCGGTTCGCCGCGGCCGTCTGCGGATGATTTATCAAGTTCACAGCCTCGTACTTTGCTTCGTCTGCGTACAGATACTCGTCAACAGGCGGTATAGCGGCGTAGCCAATTCTGGGTGCGCTGATCTGCTTCAAAGAGTCTTTCAGCGCATCTCATCGGGCTCGCTAGTCGGCTGATCTTCGCGACTCTCCTTCAAATGTGCATCTGCGTCGGGCACGCCTCGACTTACCTCTACGGGGCGATGCAAGCCTACATACACAATGGATCGGAAGCGTATGGAGCTGCGAGGTACCTCAACGACCACTGGGCGGTTGGGTGGAAGGCCGTCCAGCTTGGGTTCTTTACGGCGAACGTACGTCGTTCCATTCGTCATCTCGACCAGACGGCGATCTCACGGTAATGATAGGATGTCTGTTACAACACGATCTTGGTGAGATCACACTGTTCGGCACGAACCTCAGAAGGCTTGGCGCTCACTGACGAGTACAGATCTGGCGCTGTCACGTCGTGATGAACTCTAGTTGGCGGTATACCATCCCTTTAGTGAGTACACCCATCACTGTGGCGATCTCGCGGCTGACTCTGGACCAAGATCGTTGTGGCCACGGCCTCCGCAGGTGTGTCTCCAATTGCTCTGTGCATCGCGTAACGCTGATCGACTGTAGTGGGAGGCTTTGGCACAGCCGTCTCAGCGGCCCGACTCCCCACAGACACTGGACCCATCACATTCTTCCGAACAATAGTCCCATACCTCACCGTCTTCAACTTGACATCTTGCGTCGTACAAGTCGTCGCTTCCTCGCTCATCGCCTGGAGGGTGTGGGCAGTGGTTACGCGCGACGCTGATGCCAAACCTCGCTCGTGTGGGTTCTGCGTCGGCGCGGAGGGCGCGGCGTTGCGGATTGTTATCGAATCGGGCGTCATGCGCACGATGTGCGGTATCCTGTTGCTGCCGCTTGTCTGGAGACACAATATAGCTGGCGTTATCGTCGCTGCTGTAGCGGCGCAGGTAGACGTGAGTACCCGTCGTCTTTTTTGCGCGATCACTTTGCTGAGTGAACCCAGGCAACGGCGTCTTACCTGATCATCATACGCACCGACTCCCTACGCTCAAATGAGCGCCGGCGGGGAACCACGAACTTTCTATCTAGTGTACGAGTCGACTCCTTCCAGCTGGTTGAGGCATGCAACACGCGACCGCAAAGTCTCACATCGCAATCTCGAAGCTTTCAGGCTACGAAGTCCAAGGACGTCACACAGCAACGACGCAGGACGATGAGCAGTATCCAAGAGTATATCGCTTGATATTCGTGAAAGGGGAGTAGGATGTCCGTATTTTCAGATCTGTACATACATTACGACCGGATACTAGTCAAATTTGCACACTACATTCACAACTTCATGATAGTCCCTTCAAGGGAAGGTGACACGCAAGTCGAACGGCGCCCAGCTCTGGCTTCGCGCGTGCCGGGATCTCACGACATCCTTCCCCCTCCAGCTGGTGAATCCCGGTTCAGTCCCGGCAGCAGGGATGTTGAGGTTTTCATCCTTCTTCATCCACACGCTCTGCCTGCGCGCATGACCATTGCCGTGGAGCCTGCCCATCGCAGCCGCGAACACCTGCGTCGAGGTTGCGCTCGGCGTATGCGGGAACTCGGCCCGCTCCTCCGAATCGCGCGCGCGCCAATCGTCCGTCGTGTCCGCGCGGGACGTGGCCGGTGTAGGGAGGGAGTCCGCGCCCGAGCTTGAGGTGGAATCTGTAGGACTAGCGCGGGCCTTCATATGAACGACGTTGGCGCTGACGGGTACGTTCACCCGCAGCGGCATCCTCGCCTGAAGACGCCCGCGCATAGCCGCGGCGTGCTCCGCGCGCTCCCTCGGCGAGATTGTGCTGGTGAGACGCGGCGCGTCCTTGGCGTTCTTCGCCGCCGGATTGAACTCCGGGTCGAAGTCGACGTCGTCGTGCCTCCGCGGGCAGTTCTCCCCAGTGCAAGACGGGAGCAAGCAGGGTGTATGTTTCATCACTGCGCTCTGCGTGTCAATATAATCCGAAGGCAGAGACAGGGCAGTAGTCAACGTACGAATAGCCATATCCTTATCATTCGGATGCCAGAACTTGCACACTCCGAAGCATACGCCCGCCATATACCGCCAGCACCACGTTATACTCCGCCCAGGCGTCCAGAGCGCGTCGGGATCATGGAAATAATTGCAAGCATCTCCCGAATTGCAGCGTCCGTACGCGTACATTTTGCATGGCGCGGTCTTGCGAGGCCTTGCTTTGACGTGAAAGTTGGTGGGTGGTGCGGTAAGCGGCGGTGCCGCGGTAGGGGGCGGCGCGACAAGGGTGGGGATACTGGTGAGTGGCGCGCCCGTGAGTGCCGCTTCCATCGATGCGCGCGCCTGGCGCGCTTCCTCGATACGTGCGTGAAGAACGTCCACGTCCAGCGCATGAGCCGTCTGGACTTGTGGCGGAGTGTTACCGCGAGGGACTGCGGCCACGTCGATCTGAAGGTTGTGCGCGTTCTTCATGGTGTTGCAAGTAGTTTTGGCGTTGACGGTGGATGTGAACACGATGAGGAAGGGGCGGGGGAGGTGAGTTGACGGCCATTATCGGCGGCGAGCAGCTACATTTATAGCTTTGTCGATGTGGTTTCGCCGTCTGTGGATACGGATTAGCGGGCGGTCCACACGGACGTCGGGAACAAAGGGCATCAAGCGCGGCACAATATACCTTCAAGCGCCTTTGCAATTGTTGGGACTCGGAGCTTCAAATCCACGTGGTTCACGTTGAGGCGAGGTCGAGGGTGGTTAGACCGACAGGGAGCAAGCGCCCTTTGTGGGCGTCTTTCGTATAAAAGGGGACCGGGCTATCGTGTGGTTGCTGTGCATTCCAGGCCGTGTTCACGTATTTGTCATCCTGATCAAACTAACCACCTCGGGGTTCAACACTCCATTGTGGACCTGTAGCACGATACAGGTGAAGTTCCAGATATCTACACTTTACATGCGATACTACAGGGAGGACTTGTAAGCACAATGAACATAGGTCTAAAGTAAAGCGTACACACCATCTATACAAGCTACATAGCTCGTCGAGTCCATCCGTGTCTCCATACAAGCAGACTCACAGCTCGTCTCTATGCTCAACATCGCCTCCCGCATCTTCGATCACCTGCACGGGGTGACGGCGACGCCATTCCTCTAGACCCTTCTCAAAGATGCGCGAGTTGACGCCGTCCGGTACAAGTACGAAGGTCACGCCTAGCGCCACAGATATCAGTGTGAAGTCGACAGAAGGAATTCGTGAACGAACCGAGTTTTTCCACTTCGCGATTCCGGCCTTCGTCATCGTAGAACACCATCTCGTTGTACGGGACCCCCGTCTTCTCATGTAGCTTCTTGAAGTGCGTGATCTTCGAGCCTGCACGATGATCAGTAAGTACTATAGCCCAATATGAGACGGCCAGTTACGTACCAGGATAAATCTCGCGCTGGTCAAAGAAGTTCATAGCAGCCTCCGGCTTTGCGTCTGCACCCTTCGCCCCATGCTTAGGCGGGACGAGCAGTAAGCTCAGCGCCTGGTTCGCTCTATACTCTCATGAGATGCGTATTGGCTGGATACTGCTGAGCACTTACAGTCTAGGAGCGCTAGTACGTGACGCAGCAGCGACGATGACACGCGCATCTCGTAACCGATGCAATATCTCCGGGACGTCGTGGTAGAAACCAAACGTCTCGCCGTGCTTGTCCTTCACGGCATTGAGCGCATTATCCGACGGGCGTTTGAGAGGTCCTGTAGTTAGTTAGGATGGACAATAACATGCACGATATGGGCGTGAGCAAGTACCAGAGACATGGGTATCGATCCAGAGCGGCCAGAGCGTATAGCTGCGCGCGCATGCCTTCAACTTCGCCCCATGCACACGCGCGAGGTGGCGTTGTTGACGCACTCGAGATCAAATGCGACCAGCTTTGGAAGGCGACTTGTCATGTTCGCAGGCAAGCCAGTACTTAGAAGTTCAAACCGTAGATGGAGGTCGGAAGGAAGGTTGAGAATCAACGCTAGCGTCATCGGTGTTCGTTCTGCATCTGTACCACCATCATCTTGTGCATGCGACCCACAATACGCTCTGTGCGCGTTCCCCACCGCGCTTGACGCTTTGTCGTGAGCGTGCGGGTTGTATCAGGTTTTTTCGTCTATGGTACTGGCCCCGGACTTCTATCAGGCTTCTCAGGATACGACACGGCGTCGGATTCTGTTGGCTGACCTCACACGACCTCCGCCCAGTCGGCTCGGTACTCGTAGTATTAGTAGTCTATAGTAGTCCTGATGTAATGATACTGGTGATGTTACAGTAATGAGCGTTTTATAGACAATGTCTCCACCAAACAACAAATGCGACGGTCAACGTCCAACTCCCAATGCCAGGTCAAGCCTCTGAGCGAAAGGGCCCCCATTGTCAAGACCACTGAGACGCGAGAAGGCCCTTGTATCGCTTTTCGAAATTGTACATCCGAGGCATGCGACCTCCGCTGCCGGTGCGGCTCAGGCGGCGCCCGGTGCCCCTGTCTATCTTGCCTATAGATGCAGTCGCTGTACGCGCAAGCACATTTTGCTGCGCTAGTGCATCTCGAGCGACACTCTCGTGCTTCCTGAGGCGCTTTCCATCATGACGACCCTGCGAGAGAAAACAGTCAGTAATACTAGCTCGGCAACTTTTGAGTGTTGCAGACGCACCAACTTATCAATCCTGACTTGGTGCCGCTTCTTCTCTCTGTTTGTTCTCGTCGTGGCGAAAATCTCTTCCTGATTCAAGCCAAGGTGTTGTCAAGATGATAGCTAAGACCGAAGATGGCAGATTCTACGCACACATAAGTCCCGAATTTCCTTCACGGCAGCTTGCCGATCTCGGGGATCTAGTTCCCACTCCCACTGTCGACGCGCCTCGATAAACTGAGCCTGTATCTCGTCCAACGCATCCGGACCGAACTGGAACTTGCGCTCATTGAAAACCTCCAGACGAGGAAGTTTGGTCTCCGGCCAGCTTGGTCTTTCGTCCCTACCGTCCATTACCACGAAGGAGTCCGGTCTGAATTCGCTGATGAAAGGGACTGAAAGCACATACGCCGGCTTCGCTGGCTCTACCTCCCATTCAGGAGTGCTGTGTATGTGCGTGTGGTGGAATACAGGATGGCGTGCAGTATGAATTCGGACAATGAAGCGCCGAGTCAGAGCAGTGACCATCTCAAGCTTGGATCCTCCGAACGTAGCGCACGCGTACGACAGAAAAGAGCGTCCTTTCTGACGTCCGAGAGCTATGCACGGGCGTGCCTTGTACTCTACATGACGTCCGGCCTTCTGCAGGGCGTCGCTGAAACGAGGTACTTCGGTTTGAATATCCGGCACCGTCGATTTCACTAGCTCAAGGACAGGCAGGTGAATAGAGACCTTCGTACGCCAGGCTTCTCCAGGAAGTGGCGCAGACCTGACGTCCGAGAGCGTCTCCGCTGGGTATGGAATGGGATGTTCGGGACACGATGGGCTGCCAACCAGCGAGTCCTGGACGTTGTTGACGTGAAAGGTGTTATGGTGGTAAGTCGGATGAAACGTGGGAGTTGTAGTCGTAAGCGAGTGTGAGGACTGCATCTTGCCGGCAGTGCGAGTCGTTAGAGGGTGCTGGACGAGAGACTCTCGTCGATTGACCGTATTATATATAATCAGGAGGAAAGTTCAAGCTCAGAGTCTCAACCACCCAACACTTGTCTCGAGATAAGGCACCTGGCAAGGCGCCACCGCGTGAAATGAAGTCAAGATTGCGCCTTCCAGAAGTAACACAAAAGAAGGAGAGTGAAAGCGTATTGTACATTATCGGGCGGCACGGTAAGGAACGGGCAAGCCTGTCAACTGAGCTAGCGAGATGATCAGATGGCGAGGTGGACCGCAAGAGTGCATCCAATAAGCCCTTTGTTCTGCTTCCATTCAGGAACAAAAAGGTCGGGCGAACCCATCATGGCGGTCCAGGACAAAGGCGAACCAAATGCGATGCGAGTCCGCGTCGAGGTATATAACCGACGGGAAAAGAAGGATAAGGACTTAGCAAACGGCAAAATCCACCATGACCGGAACACGCTCTGCACCTGCGCCTTCACTTAGGAGACCCCGCACCCCAGTACCGCAGTTCAAATACATCGACGACCCGGATGAATATCAACGCGGCTATGCTCGTCGTCAGACACCGTTTGAAGGAGATTTCTGTGTCATGTCCCTCGACCCTGTCGCATCCGTCGCACACCTCGGCGCTGAAGCAATGGAAAGCGCAAAGCGCATCCCATCGGGCCGCTATGTAGCCTTTGTTGGATTGGTGAGCAGGCGATCGTATACTGCTTGAAGATGTTGGCTTACATCAAACTCAAGAGTCACGGTCTTCCATTTGAGGGTCGCCCGACCAACCCATTCACTCTCGCGCCTGTGTGCCAGGGTATCCCCCCTCAATCCTCGCTTTGTGACGCCACTCCTGCCTGCATTCCCATCCTCCCAAATGCCGACTGCTATGGGGGACGCCAGCCAATCGCGCCCATCGCACCATTCCCCTGGCCAGACTGTTATATTTCTACGTTCACGGCGGAACCTTGCAGAATCACGACCGCCAAACGAGACTATAGTCAAGTCTTGTTCTCTCCCAACGACCTGGGCAATGCTCGTGCCAACAGACTTACGGCGGAGGATAGGGAGCGCTTGTTCACTCTTAAGGAGCGTCGCGACCGAGGAGACGCGGAAGCATTAGAGCGCTTACCGCCAACCACAGTTGGCTTGTCGACAGACCTGTCATTCTTGCCTCCCCTCCCAGCAGAGACCAGCCCTGACGGCCCCGTCAATCAGTTACCCAAAAGCCCATCATCCGAAGAGTTTCCTGCTTTTGACATGGCAGATTTTCCTCCTGAACTGGCGGGTTTTGGTTTCCTCGCCGCCGCGTTGTTTAATCCCGGGAGCGTCGATTTACCGGTTGTGAACATCTGGTACGATCTGGATATGGTGACTGAGGTCCGAGACCCTCAGCTCTTCGCCACGGAATGCGAAATGATCGAAAAGTGCGTTGTTGACCCAATCTCGGTTTTCCTCACTAATCCAGCGCTGCCTCTAGAGTCAAAGAATACTATGATCCCACACAATGCGCTGCGCGCTCCGCAGCTGCTGAGGTTGCAGAGGTCGCCCCCGCATCTGGCGTCAAGAATGCCAGAACTGCAACCGCACCACCGCTATCAACTCCGATTGATACCACGCGTCTCGATGCGCAGTCACCTACAGCAGAAGTCGCTAGTGAAACGACTGCTTACATCGTCGACGATGGTGCTGTTTCTCTTGAGAGCGCAACTGCCGGTCAGGCCGTTACGCATTCCAGCGCGGCTCATTCGTCACGCTCATCTACGTTAGATGCCGTCTCGTCAGAACCGCTGGCCCTGGCCGTCTTGGAGGAAGGCGCACGAGACTCGGCCTCCTTTGGAACAGTTGCGACGTCCCCTACCTCCATCACTGCTCTAGGGTCTGTAGGACCCAAGCTCAAGCTGCTTATTCGAAGCTCGTCGCGGCACAGCGTGCGCCGTTCCACCTCCCGTACATCGCCGCGCTCGTCCCACGATACACCGCTCTCGTCCGCCTCCCCTACCAAACGAGAGTTTGTACCTCTTTCCTACGATCGTCATACTCGCAGCATGTCGGCCCTTTCGTTCGCGGTGCCACGGTCGCGTCATAACCCACTCAAGAGCTTGAAGAAGAGTCGCTCAAGTTCGTCGTTGAAGGCACCGCGGCGTGCTTCCACTCTGCCCGTGACTCGTTCGCTGCGGTAGCAATCCCCTCCTCCCGACCTCCTTTATACTTCGTCTCTGTATGTTTGCTGTTATGTGTTCTCAGTCGTGTACTCAACTGCGTATCTCTTTCTGGTGCAATTCGACGATTGTGTGACTGGTCGTAATATATCTAGTTGTGTACCTCCTGCAGTCTTTGGCGTATCAGTCTTTGCGCGGGCGCTCGCATCGTCCATGAATAGGTGTATTTATGTATAGCCTGTCTGACTAGGTCTCCAGATCAACATAGGGGGAGCCTGCGAGGGCGAAGTCAAATCAACGCGCTCAACGCGATGGCCGAAACCGGGAACGGTGTTAGTTGCGTCAAGTCCGATGTCCGGCTATCAATCGGTCGCGTGGCATTTTTTCATCAATATGAGCGCTCGCCGTTCGTTCTTGGTTCGTTCCAGTCAGTCCTTGCGTCTGTACCACCACCATCACCACCACCGTGCACTGGCTATATATGAACATCCCCGCACAGGGAGATACAAGTGATGTCTGTCATGGCGTCGCCAGCCTACACTGGTACGACCACGAACTCCATCGAGGAGATGCTTGATCTGGGAGTGGTGCCATTGACCCTGGTATCGGATGGTCCACGTCGTCGTCGCGGGCCACATTCCCTGAGCTCCTTGATGCGACAACAGATGACAGAAAGCCAGTCGCAGAAGCATGGGTATTGCTCGAATAGCTGGGTATAGCGATCTGCCACGCGTGTTCGAGTCCGGTATCTGTTCGCGGCGACATCAAGCCAGTCGTCGTCTTCACTACCCGGATCACTGTGTGATGCACCGTGCTTGTGCGTCATGTCTTTGAGATCATGATATGTCTCGAGCATGAGCCAGTTGCTCGCGGCCGGGAAGCGAAGTAATGTGGCACGATACGCGTGTTCTACCTGCGGGTACCAAGTTTTCTGCGAGGAGTCTAGGAGCACCCCACCACTGGATGACCCGAGCTCGATCACGCAGTTGAGCATCCACAAGAGGTTATCTAGCATGTACTGACGGGCATAGCTTCCGACGTCGAGCGGGAAGGGAACCCGCGGAGGTCTGCCTGTCGTATAAGCTTCATAATGGTGAAGCCATGAAGTGGCTGTCCCGAACGTGTTGAGGTGTCTCAGCTGTTGTAAGAGCACTCGTGCATCACGCCGTAAGTCTTTGAACTGTACGCGACTGTCTCGTGTGTGCTCGCAACTACACTGAGAGATCGCGGACAAGATGTCGGCCCGCAATACGGCAAACGAACAATCTGAGAGTAAGCGATCTTCCGGAGTACTGGAACGCGGCATCAACCCCCAGTTCCAGTGTATCGTCCCGCACGTATGCAGTATACGTCGCACTTCGGATGCGGATAAGGGCGGATGCCTGAGCGTAGACGTGCTCTCGGGGAGTATGTGGCGTATCAAAGCTCGCGCCAGAAATGAGACTTTCAAAATACGACAACGTCTCGTCGAGGCTGTCGCATCTTCGGCGCCACTCAGGGTTGCGCATGACTGTGCGAGCCTTTCCAACAGTGTGCATATGTCCAGATCAGCCGCTAGACATTGCACGTAGATGAGTCTACGTTGTGAGTGCACAGTAGTATCCAAAATTGACACAAGAGATGTGCAGAACTGATCTGCTTCATGTAGCTCGTCCACCGAGTCTCGAACTTGGCGAAGGGCGTAGCGCAAGGTCGTCTGCTGCTCGGATGGTTTATCTTCCGCAAGATCCTCCGCGCACCAGGAGCCGCACAACCGCAGGGACGATGTGATCCCTCTCCACTTCCTGTTCAATCCGGACCATGCTTTATGAGCCCATGGTGGAATGCATACATGTTTGACTTGTCCCAAGAGCAACGCGAAGGCGCGATGTACGTTTGCTATCGAGCGCGCGGCCGCCTGGAATAGTGCGGTCAATGGTGTGTGAAAGGGAGCCCAGGGGTCCACGACGGGCAGAATACTGATCCCGATATAGCCTATCGCTCCGAGAGCAGTCGCAGCAGAGAAAGCTGTAGCAACGATAGTATTGACCGGCGAGAGCGTGACAATCAGTCCCGCAAAAAATAAAGCAACGGAGATATGCAGGATCAAAACAATCATCGTCACGGCGTCTTCCAAGCGGTGACGATCGAGGCCTTCAGCCAGTTGAGCATATAGAGGCCCTCGGATGCTTGGACCGCCCCGGCGCTGAGTTCCCTGAGAATACATCCTGACCCACTGCTGCACAAGAGTAGCAGACAGCGCGCAGAGGAGTGCCAGAAAGAGACTGATCAACCAAAGAGAGTTCACCCATAGCGAGGGTGCGGAAGGCGCAAAGGATAGTTCGGACGCTGCTTTTCGCGCGGTAGGCCCAGCTGTTGATTGGTTGGCCAGTACCTCTAGCACTTGAGACAGCAGAATGACGGTCTGTTCGCCCGTGTCGGGTGAGAGCTCCGGAATCGTCGCGACAACGAACGTCGCAACAGTTGCGGCGAAGAGTCCAGTCTTGCACATATGGGGATCGGTGTCAGTACCACAGCCCATGCGAGAACACGACCAGACGCACGAATATCAGAATGCCGTCTGTGTCCCCTTTCCATCTCTCGAGCTGTATCTTGTCGCGCTTTTCAGCGTCAGAGAGGTACATGGACCAGAACTGATCTTCGGGGTTTAGGAATGTGCTGCCTACAAACACAAGTTTCAGTCTCGCCTATCTCCGCGATGCAGTCTGGCAATCGCATAACACACCATAAGTTGATCTGTGCTCTGATTGGGGCTCCATGAGGGAGAGAGAGAACAGCAGGAAGAAGTGCAGTGGGCGGACACGAAAAGTCAGTCTGAGCGAGCTCAACTTGAAGGCAGCGCCGTCACTTTATATGCCATGTGCTGACAGCTCTCACAAGAAGGTATGCCTGGGAGGTAGCCGCATGTAGACGGGAGAAGCCAGTTGCTTCTGAGTGATATCTGTGGTCAAAGAGCGGTACACAACCCCCCAAGCGCCACGCTTTGAGCCTCTTCGAAACGGAATACAGGCATGACCTGCACACGATGCACTGCAGCTTTGTCAGTCAAAGTACTACCTACAACGTCCGGTTCTTCGGAAATGGCTGTACTGGCACATGTCATTGAGCGGCGGATGTATTACCCGATACTGGTCGTGGTCATAGTTCTAGAGGCAACTGGCGCGACGCGCACGCTGCCTTTGCTGCCCGAGGCGTGAGACACTCGGACCGCATGTGCCGGAGTGCACGAGCCGTCGACGGATCAACGACGGATGTGATATGTGTGGCGTATAGATATAGTACAGCGCAGGGAAGTCCAATGTCCAAGTCCAAACGTAAGAACAACAGAGGTCAAGTAATTACTACGTAGGCTTGATCGGCCGAATGAGGATAGGAAGCTGCACGCCCTCTTGCGGGCTGTTCGCCACTGTCGGTCTACCAACGATTGCAACGCGCCGCACAATATCGTCCGGCTCAACGGCCAGCTCAACCTCAAAGTTACGGAAGATGGAGAAGAGGATCGCCTTGGCCTCGATGATCGAGAACCTGGAAAGATTTGGATCACATCAGTATCACAGCGCCGGAACGTATGCAGGAAAACCGCGCGCACCTGAAGCCGATACAGGCGTGCGCGCCGGCGCCGAATGTCATGAGGTTGCTGTAGACGCTAGGAAGTCCATGTGCCGCTTCTGGCGCTGAGTCGGTCCAACGTGATGGACGGAACTCGTGGGCGTCTTCGCCCCAGATCTCGACCGAGCGGTTGACGATACGGATAGGGAAAGAGACTTGGTCGCCCTTGGCCACTCTACAAGTATCGTATCAGTATGCATACATGAAGGATGGCTACAACAGGGCAGACTCACGAGATCTCTGAACGCGTTACGCCGTACTTGTCGACGATCGGTGTGCCGAGGGGGATGGTGGTATCTTGCTTGACGTCGCGCTGGAACGTCGTGACGGGTGCATATAGACGAAGGACTTCGCGTAGGACGTTATCGAGTGTTACCAGCGAGTTAAGGTCGTCCATTGAAGGCGTGTCGTGCGGGAATTGAACCAGTTCGGCGCGGAGCTGTGCTTGTACGTCCGAGTGGCAGGCAAGCGCGAAAAGAGTCCACGATACGGCAGTACTGGTCGTCTCGTGTCCTTTGGGTCACCATGAGTCATGTCATCGCCAGGATAGATCTCGCAGTACGTACCAGCGAGCAAGAAGGTGGGCGTCTGTCCGTTGATCTCATCGTCGCTCATCCGCATGCTTTCCGGGAGGTCGCTGGCGAGATTGGACTTCAAGCACTGGCTGATCAAATCATTACCGAAATCGGCCTTCTCCATCGAGCCGCCGTTGGCAGCGTCCAGAATAGCCTTCTTCTTCGCCTGCATGAGCTCCATTCCTTTTTCGCGGATGATGGCGGTGCTCCTCTTGCTTTCTGCCACGGGGCCAAAAGGCTGGCGTACGATCGTGAGCATGGCTTGGGAGAAAGGTCAGAGTGAGAGGGGCGTACCAAGTCACGAAGAATGGGAATGGATATTTGAACGAAGAGGAAAGGACTGCGCTTTGAGTTTATGGTCCTGCTGAAGGCACGGTACAACTCGTCCTGATCGTCTTCTGCTCTGTGTAGAGAGTCGAATTCGTAGCCAAAGCCTGTCAGACTGAGTCAGCGACAGTCGTGAATGAGTTGACGATCTGTATGGCGTACCTGCGAGTCCGATGATATCCAATGTTACCTGCAGAACCGTGTCGGTAGAGTCTTCCTCACGCCAAGAGGCCTGCGTACCTTGTTCATCCAGGAGAACGCGTTGACACGTACGCGACCATCTTTGCGGGTGGATTTGGCCGCGAGATCGAGCCAGATGTCCCGCAGCTCATTGGACTTCTCGACGAATATCTCGGTAAACTTCCTGACCTGAACCGGACCGAAGGCGGGGTTCTATGCAATATCAAGGTATCAGCGCAAGGCATCGAGTGGATACTCAATAATGCACGTACGATGACCTTCCGTTGACGGCGGTGCGTGGGACCTTCTGCGAAGAGTAGACCTGAACAGGTCAGCGTGACCGAGCACTCATATTGCGATGAACTGCACACCTTTGCCCAAGATCGCTTCGAACATATGTTGCGCTTGCTCGCTCCGCTGGAAGAGATCGCCATGGTGTGCAATGTGATGCAGTGCTTTAGCATCCACAGTCAAGAGCTTCTTTCTCTGATCGCAGCCGTGCGTCAGTCGAGATCAAAGCGAGTCACAAGTGAGGACATACCCCCAGAACACTCTGAACGACATACGCGCGTCCGAACTGGTGTACCCAGTTCTCCATCATGCGCGCGCCTTCTTGCTCGCTGACGACGCCGAAGTTGCCCATGAGGATCGAAGTAGGCCGTGGGCCGGGTAGCACGTTCAACGGTGAGCGCCATCCGCGAATATATGTTGTGGCAAGGGTGAACGCGAGGTATCCCGTCAATGCGCAAAGCGATAGACCGGCGACGACGAAAGGTGCAGCGAGTAATTTTGTTGGTGGAGGAGGAAAAGCAAGCGTCATCGTAGTAAGGAAGTTGGTGCAACTCCTGGATCAAGGCCAAGTGTGTTCATATACTGGCGATCCGGCAGCAGTTGGCAATTGAACGTTCCCGTGGTCACCGAACGTCCGAGGTGATGAATGGAGTCGATGGACTACGCGCAGTGCAAAAAGTCACGTTTTGGGTCGCATTGGTTCACAGCAACAGGCGTCGGATATCCGAAAGCAGCTCGAGGAGGAAGCGGTTGCAGTGCGTTTGCGGAAATCCGGGTGCAATCCGGCTGCCGCGGCGCGCGCCGCGGAGGGCCCATGATAAAGAGCGTTCACGTAGAGTCTCATAGGTGTAGTATTGGGACGAGTGCTTGTAGTTCGCGAGTGTCGCTAGGTCTGTCGAAAAATCCGGGAGGATTACTTTGGGCGGTACAATCGTCGTGGTACGGATGAGAGCACATGCCACACCCGACGGAGATGATCGGGGGCGACGCGGACCGTATCTCCGACGCTCAAGTCCGGTGGAGAATGATCCGTGCGGATCAAGCCCAGTCCGAGCATGCCCAATCTCCTCTTGTTTCTGACCTTCACCTCCGGCTGGGGATATCCTCGCGGATTGAACTCGCCATGAACCACGATGCTTTCCCCATGAACGACGGCATGGACTTTGATGAACCCTTCGCCAAGAAGATCACCCGAGAAGTCGTCATCCTCCCTAGCGGCTGGTCCAATGTACCCGTAGAGCAGGACCCAGAAAAGACAAAAGCCAGAATTAGTCAAGGGCTGGATAGAGCCTACGTTGACGCCAGCGAACGATGGGAGAAGAGTCCAGAGGCCGCTCTCGAGCCTCTGTTTCGACTACACGATCAACTGAAGATGCACCCCTGCGGCCCGAATATGTCTGCTCTTATGCAATATGGCGCCGCTTTCTACAAGGAGACAGGGCGGAACTTTGCAAACACGGGCTCGGAACGCTGGTATCGAGCCATTGATGCTGGTCTGCTTGACTTCTGTCAACAAGTCCTTGACGATGATAACACTCTGAGCCAGATCTACGCCGTAAGCTCTGGTCTCGTTTCGGATGTTCTTACCGCCATTGACTGATTGGATGCGCTAGACGTGGACACTCAAGTTTTTTGAGATACTAGAGTCGATGATGTACGCCATTGACGATCGTTGCAAGAAATTACCGGATGGTGCTGGGCGACACTCCCCTCTTCGCGCCCGTGTTCTGTCTCTCGCGAACCAGCTATGGCGCGGCGTAGACAAACGACCATATGCTTTCGTCTGCACACACTGGAACAACCAGTCAAAGGAGATGTACCAGCTTATGCTGACGCGATTGCTATTGGCGGCTAGCAAGCACATGAGGTTCTTCACCTACTTGGTCCTAGTTCGGCTCCGGCTTATCGGTCGTACTTCAGCGCAACCGATCCGTCGGGGGAATCATTGGGCGGGCCGGAATACGGGCCTTTTCGCCGTGTAGCTCTGTTCGGATGGTTTCAAGGGCACAATCCGACCGATACTCTGGGACTCGTCGAGAGCCTCCTCGTCCTGCCCTTCACGGACCTCTGGCCCGCGCCGTTCCGAACCCCCTTCGACATACCCGAGGACGAGCCGCCACAGTTCACTACATTCATCAAAGAAGAAATACTCGATGTATACGGCCCTCGCGCGTATCTCGACCGCTTGGAGATCAGCCTTCGTCACCCGCAGCATATCGACGCTCGATTACTGTTCCTCTTCAAGATCATCGGCAAGACGATCGTGCGTGAGGAGTTCGCGCCTCATGTTCAAGCTGCTGGCACCTTTTGGAGTATGAGGCAGGCCGTAGATCGACAGATGATGAAGGGTGCGAGGGATGACATGGAGTTGTTCATGATTCTATATCAGACCCTGATGATATTCAGGTATTTTGAGCCCGATCTGCGCGTTCTACCCCCGCCTTAGCTAATCCGGGTCTCTTTCAAGCTTGTTCACTCATATCTCAAGCGTCTCCGAGGGAGCGGCCCATCTGATCAAAGAGTGCGATGTCATTGAGCTACTATCCCTTACGATTGTTTTAGCGGTCCGGATACAGCCTCTCGTCCCGCTAGGTGCGCCATTCTATACTATGATACTGTACTTCGCGACCTCGCGTGCTCATGCCTGTACGCAGGTTATACCGGCCTGACATGCTGTCTACACCCCATGCAGGTCTGGACCGAGCTCGGACATACGCTCTCCATGCGAAGCGGCAGGAACTTGCTTTTGAAAGCGTTCAAACACGCCGTTCGGAGGGAATGGTACCCAACACTCGCTACACTGCACACGCTCCCCAAAGGTGGTCTATCGCACAACGCGGACCGCGACGACTTTGTACAGGCATGGTACGAGCTCGGCATGACGGTCGGGTTGGACGAAAGCAAAGAACGAGAAGAGTACGAGCGATTTGGCAAGCGTGCTGCTCGATCGTGCTCATGGAAGGAGTGCCGGTATCATACGGAGGCGGCACCGAATCCATCGAGAGTCTGCGTGGGCTGTGGTGAAGTGGTAAGCCCCGTTTGGAGTCGTGCGTTGCCTACTTTAATCTGACGCTGGCTGTTCGGTCATCAGCGGTATTGCGGCAAACCCTGCCAGACCAAGTTCGTATTCCCACGTAATCATCCAATTCTGCGCTATGAAGCTGACTTGTGGCGCAGAGACTGGAAGGAAGGTCAACACAAGAAAAGATGCAAGCGCATCAAAGACAAACCAAGCGTTCCGCGCGAGACGGCGCAGATCTATGGTCTCATACAGTAGGTTCGGTGTATAACTCATTACAAGTAAGTATCGAACGGCACGAGATGGCCGTCAGTATCTGAAGATGTATCGTTACCGTGATGCGAGCCCATTAAATGAGTAGCCTGAGCTCAGATTTGCGTCTCGCTGAGCGTTTTGCACTCTCGCAATGCACTACGGAGTCAGCGCGAATTCGGCGCAGGCTCTGCGCTGTATAACGCCATCCGCGCCTACCCGCGTCGGATGGGTGGCGTTCGCGCAGATGAGATAGCCATGGGCGATGACCTGTTGTTGAAGTCCGGTCTACGACAACTGCGCTCTCTCAAGCCCTGTTAACGCGGTCAAAGACGCGCCTCGCGCATCACTCATGTGACCGCGTCGCGGCGGACCAGCCCGGAAGCATATAAGATAGCTGGATTCAATAAAATAGAAAATATACCGATAGATACATGTACAACTGCAGGTAGAGGTCTATAAGGCAGTAACGGCACTGGCAGCCGCCTGAACTCGGCCACTCCCAAAGACATCCCAACACGTGCGAGACAGTAGGCGCCGGGACCAGGCGAAGGGGATGAACGCTACGTCCGACATCGACCGTTTCTCGTCTGCAATTCCGGCCTCCGTGCACCTCTGGCGGGACCGCGCACAGGCAGCAGTCACCTCTAGCCGCGCCGAGAGCGGCGCGTCGAGCTATTGTGGGACCCCATCCCGCCGCCGCCGAGACCGCTTCCCTTCTGGGATTGCAGTGTGCCGGCCAAACGGCTCTAGTATACTTCCACCACCGCTTGCCCTCCATCCTCAGTTGCAACCGAGCGCCTTCGGCCAAGGAGTTGGCGCAGGCCGCCCAATCCGACGTCAAGGCGCGATCACCAGTTTCCGTGCGTGATTGTCGATTTTGAGAACGTACTGGTAGTGTCGGGGGGCTGGTGAGGCAGTATGGGTAGCGGTCGTTGTTGGTGTGGCGCATGATGCACGATAGGCGACGACGGCGGGCTGTGTCATTGCCATGCGCGTACGCCTGGGGTTTCAATGAGAGGGGGCGAACTATGCTTGCGCGCGCTGTCCGGATACAAGGTCAGGCTGTGTGGATGGCAAGAGTGGAAAGTTTACGCACGATGATTTTGCGTGTCTAAGGTCACAGACCGGCTCGATGGCTGAGCATACTGATGCCTGTACCGCTGGCGACTCAGCGCGCTGGGGGATCACCCACTGCGCTCGGGAACATCTCCCCGCACCGAATGTTGGTGTGGCGAGCCCATCATGAGTAGAAGCGTTATGGATGGCAGCGCGCACGCTTGCGTATACTGAGAGACACGGGTTTGAAGAGAATGAGATTGCGCAGAGATGATGGTACGAGCACAAGCCGCGCAGCGCGCGCGGACGTGGCGCTCCCTTCGCGCGACCTCCCAACTTCACCCTGACCACCACCGCGACCAAATGTGATGTCTTCCGGCCTCTCCACGGACGACCTGTCCACGACCTTCGTCCCGGGCGCCTCGCCCTCCTACTTCGCCCCGCGCGCGCCCTCCATCACCCAACGCCACGCCCACACGCGGATCCTGCCGGGCTCGAACAGCGATGGCGAGGGGATCGTCAGCTCGCCCGACGACGGGGTGGGCAAGCAGCTGACGATCGATATGAAGAGGATGATTGGGGACGCTATTGGTAATGTATGTATCTATTGTTAAGTGTGGAGGGGGAGGGAGGCTGATGAGGGGTGTAGTTGAGCATCAGTCCGTCGTATAGGGACGTCGTACTCGCCGCGTAAGTAGCCTTATCTGCATTGGATATGGAATGCGCATTGACTGAACACAGCCGCAAAGGCCTCTTCATAATCTCGCTCTCCGCGCCCGACAAGCTCCCGCGCTTCCTTCCTCAGGGCGGAACATGGGACGTCGCGGACGTGCAATGGAACCCGCACCCGGCGCGCGAAGAGTACGTCGTCAGCACCTCGTCCGAGAAGCTCCTCATCTGGAACCTCGACCTCGCGGGGCCCACGGCGATCCAGCACGTGCTGCACGCGCATTACCGCTCGGTGACGGATATCAACTGGCATACGGTCGAGCCGAATGTGGTTGTGAGTACGGGGATCGACTCGTGGCTGTGGGCGTGGGATTTGCGGGCGACGATGAAGCCTGTTATGGGGCTGTGTGCGTTTAATGGTGTGTTGTCTACACTATCTATAGACTGTACTGGGTACTGAAGAGGATGTACAGCGGGAGGAACGCATGTCAAATGGAACCGCCAAAACGCGCACATCCTCGCCTCCTCGCACCAAGACCAAGTCCTAATCTGGGACCGCCGCGTGCGTCCCCCCCCTCCCCCCC